TGGTAGAACCAGTCCAAGTGGATGTCAACGTAGATGCTCCATCGGAAGGCACTTCAACAACGACAGTCTCTTGGTCACCAGATTGAGCAGGGGTCAACGTGGTAGTTCTGGTGGTAGAACCAGTCCAAGTGGATGTTAACGTAGATGCTCCATCAGAAGGCACTTCAACAACGACAGTCTCTTGGTCACCAGACTGAGCAGGGGTCAACGTGGTAGTTCTGGTGGTAGAACCAGTCCAAGTGGATGTTAACGTAGATGCTCCATCAGAAGGCACTTCAACAACGACAGTCTCTTGGTCACCAGACTGAGCAGGGGTCAACGTGGTAGTTCTGGTGGTAGAACCAGTCCAAGTGGATGTTAACGTAGATGCTCCATCAGAAGGCACTTCAACAACGACAGTCTCTTGGTCACCAGACTGAGCAGGGGTCAACGTGGTAGTTCTGGTGGTAGAACCAGTCCATGTGGAAGTCAACGTAGATGCTCCATCAGAAGGCACTTCAACAACGACAGTCTCTTGGTCACCAGACTGAGCAGGGGTCAACGTGGTAGTTCTGGTGGTAGAACCAGTCCATGTGGAAGTCAAGGTTGAGGCATCGGTAGCAGTTGCTGGAACCTCCACAACAACAGTATCTTGGTCACCAGACTGCGAGGCACTCAATGTGACGGTTCTAGTGGTAGAGCCAGTCCATGTGGAAGTCAAGGTTGAGGCATCAGTAGCAGTTGCAGGAACCTCCACAACGACAGTGTCTTGGTCACCAGACTGAGAAGCACTCAAGGTCACAGTTCTGGTAGTAGAGCCAGTCCAGGTCGAGGTCAAGGTCGATCCCTCAGTAGATGGGACCTCCACAACGACAGTCTCCTGTTCACCAGATTGAGTAGGTGTCAACGTGGTAGTTCTGGTAGTAGAACCAGTCCAAGTGGAAGTCAAAGTTGAAACATCGGAAGCAGTTGCTGGAACCTCCACAACAACAGTCTCTTGGTCACCAGATTGAGCAGGGGTCAACGTGGTAGTTCTAGTGGTAGAACCAGTCCAGGTGGATGTCAACGTAGATGCTCCATCAGAAGGCACTTCAACAACGACAGTCTCCTGGTCACCAGACTGAGCAGGGGTCAACGTGGTAGTTCTGGTGGTAGAACCAGTCCAGGTGGAGGTCAACGTGGATGCATCAGTGGATGGAACTTCAACAACAACTGTGTTTTCATCACCAGACTGGGATGCACTCAAGATAATAGTTCTGGTAGTGGAGCCAGTCCAAGTTGAGGTCAAAGTCGATCCTTCAGTGGAAGGAACCTGCACAACAACTGTCTGGGTTCCATCTGACTGTGCGGGCAAAGTCTCAGTAGTGGTTTCGCTACCAGTCCATGTACTTGTTAAAGTAGTGGCTGGAGATGGAACCTGGACAACCACGGTTTCAGTGCCACCAGACTCAGCAGGCAAGGTCTCAGTAGTGGTCTCGCTACCAGTCCAAGTACTCGTCAAAGTAGTAGCTGGGGATGGAACCTGGACCACGATGGTCTGCGTTCCACCAGACTCAGCAGGCAAAGTCTCGGTAGTGGTCTCGCTACCAGTCCAAGTACTCGTCAAAGTAGTAGCTGGGGATGGAACCTGGACAACAATCGTCTGCGTTCCACCAGACTCGGCAGGCAAAGTCTCGGTAGTAGTCTCGCTACCAGTCCAAGTACTCGTCAAAGTAGTAGCTGGGGATGGAACCTGGACCACGATGGTCTGGGTGCCAGATTCGAATGGTTCCGTGATAACAGATGTCTCAGTACCCGTCCAAGTTGAGGTGATAACTGTGACAGGTGTAGGAATCTCCACAACGACGGTGTTGGTTCCACCATCCAGTGCAGTAAGAGTACGGGTGGTAGTTTCAGTGCCCGTCCAGGTCGACCACACAGTGGTTGCTGGAGTAGGAACGATGACAACAACAGTCTGAGTACCTCCAGAGACATAAGGACCGGTCTCAGTAAGGGTTACATCGCCAGACCAAGTGCTTGTGGCAGTAGTCAAAGGAGGGGGCACGTCAATGAAAACGGTCGCGGTACCACCAGAGGCGGCAGGGACAGTTTCCGTCTGGGAGGTGGTGCCAGTGTAGGTTCTGGTGATTGTCGTTGTAGGAGTTGGGACATCAACATAAACGGATTCAGTACCTCCGGAAGCAGCTGGAACCGTCTCAGTAGTAGTTTCACTGCCGGTCCATGTTCTGGTAATGGTAACCGCTGGAGTAGGAACGTTCACGATCAAAGTTCCGGTACCGCCACTAGCGGCTGGAACGGTTTCCGTTGAGGTTTCACTACCGGTCCATGTTCTGGTGATGGTAGTCAGGGGCGTTGGCACATCCACGTAGATAGTATCCGTTCCGCCGCTACCGCCAGGTATAGTTTGGGTAGTTGTCTCGGATCCAGTCCAAGTTCTCGTCACAGTGGTCAGTGGCGTTGGGACATCAATGTAGATAGTGTCAGTTCCTCCGCTTCCACCTGGGATAGTTTGTGTGGTCGTTTCAGAGCCAGTCCACGTTCTCGTAACCGTGGTCGAAGGAGTAGGAACGTCAACATAAATGGTATCAGTTCCACCACTTCCACCGGGAATGGTCTGAGTCGTTGTTTCAGATCCCGTCCATGTTCTAGTGACCGTGGTCAGTGGCGTTGGGACATCGATGTAAATGGTATCAGTGCCACCGCTTCCACCTGGAATCGTTTGAGTAGTCGTTTCAGATCCCGTCCAGGTTCTAGTAACGGTAGTCAGAGGAGTAGGAACGTCAATGTAGATCGTGTCAGTACCACCACTACCTCCTGGAATGGTTTGAGTAGTAGTCTCGGAACCGGTCCAGGTTCTCGTGACCGTCGTCAGCGGAGTAGGCACATCAATGTAGATGATATCGGTTCCACCACTACCACCAGGGACAGTCTGGGTGGTTGTCTCGGATCCAGTCCATGTTCTTGTAACAGTAGTCAGAGGTGTAGGAACATCAACATAAATCGTCTCAGTGCCACCGGAAGATGCAGGAATGGTCTGAGTGGTAGCCTCAGAACCAGTCCAAGTTCTAGTAATGGTGGTCAGCGGGGTAGGAACGTCGATGTACACAGTACCCGTGCCTCCTGAAGGAGCAGGATCGGTAACAGTCAGAGTCTCTGATCCAGTCCAGGTTCTGGTCAAGGTGGTGTAAGGAGTTGGAACATCAATGAAGACCGTACCAGTACCTCCCACCAGAGCAGGAGAGGTTTGAGTGGTGGTGTCACTTCCAGACCATGTTCTTGTGACCGTGGTTGTTGGAGTGGGGACATTCACAACGATCGTCTGGGTTCCAGAAACAAACAGCTCGGTGACGATCTCAGTGTCCAGACCAGTCCAAGTGGCAGTGATGACAGTGATTGGAGTAGGAACCTCGATCACAACAGTGTCGGTACCACCAGAAGTAGCGGTGATGGTACGTGTGGTGATGGTGCTTCCGGTCCAGGTCGAGAAGAGGGTGGTTGTTGGAGTAGGAACATCGATGAAGACGGTTCCGGTCTCACCAGGACCACCAGTAATGGTTCCACTGGAGGTGTCGGAACCAGTCCATGTTCTTGTGATGGTGGTCGTTGGAATTGGCACGTTCACAATGACACTGCCAGTCTCACCCTCGGTAGCTGTGATGGTTTCAGTGGAAGGCTCAGATCCAGTGTACGTTCTCGTCACTGTTGTGGTTGGGATAGGAACATTCACGATAACGCTGCCTGTCTCTCCCTCGCTAGCAGTGATGGTCTCGGTGGTGGCCTCGGAACCAGTCCATGTTCTGGTGACCGTCGAAGTTGGAATAGGAACGTTGACAATCACACTTCCTGTTTCGCCCTCACTGGCAGTGATGGTCTCGGTAGTAGCTTCCGAGCCGGTCCAGGTTCTGGTCACCGTGGTGGTTGGAATGGGGAGGTTCACGATAACGCTTCCGGTTCCGCCCTCGCTTGCAGGCACAGTTTCAGTGGTGGCTTCAGATCCAGTCCAGGTTCTAGTCAAGGTGGTGGTGGGAACAGGCACATTCACAATGACACTGCCGGTTTGTCCCGCACTGGCTGGAACGGTCTGGGTAGAAGCTTCTGAACCGGTCCACGTTCTCGTGAGAGTTGTAGTAGGCACTGGAACGTTGACGATGACACTACCAGTCTGACCAGCACTTGCTGGAATAGTCTGGGTGGTGGCTTCAGAACCAGTCCAAGTGCTGGTGACTGTTGTGGTTGGAACAGGAACATTCACAATAACGCTTCCTGTCTGACCAGCACTAGCGGGAATGGTTTGAGTAGTGGCGACCGAACCTGTCCATGTGCTTGTAACAGTGGTGGTTGGAACTGGCACATTGACGATAACCGATCCGGTTCCTCCTGCCAGCGCTGGAATGGTTTGAGTGGTAGCCACAGAACCAGTCCAAGTGCTGGTGACAGTGGTGGTTGGTACGGGCACATTGACGATAACACTTCCAGTTTGACCTGCACTGGCTGGAACAGTCTGGGTAGAGGCGACCGAACCTGTCCATGTGCTTGTAACAGTGGTGGTTGGAATTGGAACATTCACAATAACCGATCCGGTACCTCCAGCACTAGCGGGAACAGTCTGGGTGGTGGCAACGGAACCGGTCCAAGTACTTGTCACTGTGGTTGTAGGAACTGGAACATTCACGACCACTGTACCAGTGCCTCCAGCCAGTCCTGGGACGGTCAGAGTGGTGGCAACAGAGCCTGTCCAGGTACTCGTGAGTGTGGTGGTTGGAATTGGAACGTTTACGATGACTGTACCTGTTCCGCCAACCAGGGCCGTTACCGTTCGAGTAGTAGCCACTGATCCTGTCCACGTACTGGTGACGGTGGTTGATGGAGGTGGCACATCCACATAGAGGGTTGCGGTTCCTCCAGTCAGTGCCGTCGCAGTCAGCGAGCTGGTTGCAGTGCCTGTCCATGTTCTGGTGATGGTGGTGGTTGGCGTAGGAACATTGACCGAGACGTATCTGGTACCACTGGTAGTGCCCACCGTTTGGGTCACAGAAGCCGTGTTGGTGCCGGTGACGGTGACAGTCACAACAGACATGGGCACATTCACAATAACGGTTCTGGCGGAGGTTCCGGTGTGAGTGACAAGACCAGTGTTGGTGGCAGTTGGGTCGGTCACCGTGGAAACCACAATGGGCAAGCTATTGCCGCCAGTGCCAGGATCGCCGGCCTGGTAGTGGGACCAACGGATGGTGGAGGAGCTGGTCAAGGTCTCGCCGTTACACACGAAGTTGTATGAGTAAGTCGACGGGAAGGTGGCACTGGTCAGGATGATGGTGGTCATGATGTTCATGTACGGTCTGTAATTGGCCGGGAGGTTGGTGAAGGTGACGATGGCCTCCGTTGTCGAGCAACTGGTGAGGGCAACGCCGGTCTTTTGGGCAGTTTCTGGGAAGTACCAGGCGTTGTAGATGTTGGAGATGGAGCCGCTCAAAGTGCTGCAATCGAGAGCCACCTCGGACTGCTTGATGGACAAGGTACCCGACATGACCAGCAGACACTTGGGACCCACCAAATAATGCTGTTTGACGTTGGTGTTGACCAAGGCTCTCAAGGCATAGGCGGCGACGTCGGGCGAACCTCCCATGGAGTAGGCAATGCCTCCCACAAAGTTTACAGTAGAAGTCAATTTCTTCAGGCCATCTTGCCAAGTGACGGTGTTGCTGCCAACGCTCCACACGGAGGAGGACTCCAAGTTGACTTGGTCGTCAGACAAACCGGCATTGAAAGTGAAGGCAAAGTTGATGGTTCCACTAGTGTCTCCCAAGCCTTGCACGGCAGATGTCGCAGTACATTGCACCTCGGAGAATCCCACAATGTTGTCTCCGGAAAACAAGTCACAGTTGGCCAAGACGGTGCCGCCGCTTGTGATTTGCAAAGTTTGTGCTGTACTTGTAAATTTGTACACATAAGGCATGTGCAACGTGAAGGTGTCGCCGGCCTTCATGTTCATGGAAGCAGGGATGCTCCAGGCGACATTACTCTGCCAATTGACACTCTCTGGACGAGCAAGACTCGGAGGAGTGATGGAATTGATTGCTGTAAAGACTCCCTCCTTCACGGCTGCCATGGCCATGGAGACATGGAGGAGGATGCTCACCCAGAAGATGAGGATGTTCATTGTCAGATGCAGCTAGCGGCGGGAAATTCAGGGATCTCGTGTTTATTTAAACGAAGGAGAAGGGTTTGCAGCTGCGGCGATCCTAAATAAAGACTCCAAAGCCGCCAAGCTTGAAAAGCAAAGGCCCACCGGTTGAGCTATGGCTCCAACCGACGCTTACGTTGGTTGCAGCATAGTTTCAGCCATGCATATCTGAGTTTCAGCCATGCATAAGGTGCTACGTTGCATATGTCTCCTGCAGCTCCTAGACAAGTTCCTCGGGAAGAATATCTGGTGCCGCATTCTATTGGATAGGAGCCACCCACTTTTAGCCGACATACCTTTGTTCAAGTGGGTTCTTCCAAGCACACCTTGCATATTCGCTGCAGAGCGTCTAAACCGGCTGGAATTGCTCCCTTTGCACCGCCACCTATCCATCTAGACACGTTTTATTGCCAAGCTCAGTTTCGGAGTTCCAGTGTCTTTTTTTGTTGATAATGAAGATCCCTGGGTTTTGACAGCTGCTCAAGCGAGAGACAATGCAATAATATTCATTGATAACCCCTCGTATGCAATACAATCTTCTACGTGCAGACGCACAGAAGTTTTTCGCCGGTGCGGTACAGCATCGGGACCTACCGTGCGGCGAATTTCATCAATGGTAAGACCACTGGGGCACTTTCTCCTCGACGAAGCCGCTAAACCTTTCTCCATTATAAAATAGACGCTTCTGCATTTACCTTGGCCTTCTTTCGTTTTTTCTTTTCCTATCGAACAAACCTAAAAGCTTGGTGTGGAGAATACCGTTATCCTCAACACTTGCTAGCGATAAACCGTCCTCTCGTCAGCCTCCCCCATATCAGATGAGAAATTAAGCAACTTCGGGCACCATTACCTAGGTCCCATACCGATTAGGCCACACCTCAAGGCTTTTGCCAAAGTATCGCAAACGATTTTGACTTAGCCACCCTGGTGCCACAGTGCTACCGCATGTACAGCATGGGCCGCATGGGCCGCATGTGTTTGGGATTGTTTCTGCAACCTCCTTAGCGGCATCAGTATCAGTTTGCGAGAAAGTACGATCCTTCTTCGTTTAATGTTCCTCTCGATTATCTTGAAAGACAATAGGTGCGGTGCGTTTCTCGTAACCACCCGTGGGGTTAAGCGTGTGGCTTACAAAGCGGTTGTAATCATTCTCTTTTTGATAAATTGAGCACCACCCCTTTGGGAAACTTGGCAATCGGAAAGCCTTCTCTGTCACTCTTTCTTCTCTCTCTCTCTTTCTTTTTGTGGCACGGATTGTCTCAATAAGAAAACATTCCACCAACTTAAGCGCCAGTACATAATGCGCATACGGCACACTTTTTGGGGAAGCACAAAAAGCAGGACGGAAAAACCTCTTCGGGATCCAGACTTTGCCTAATTCATCCAGGACCGACAATAAGCCTATCAATACTTGCTCTGTTGTATACTAATTGGGGCAAAACCACTCTTCTACACTTTTACTTCGCGTCAGGGCTTGAGTGTGGTCGGAATACCCGCTTTAGTATATGGCGCTTGTTGACATTTTGAGTAACGCAACATCCTATTGACGAAGGGTCGCAGCTTGTGAAACTCACATTAGCCCACATCTTTGTGGACGTTTCTGCAAGTTTTCCACAGATTGTACATGAAAACCACCTCGGGCCCACATTTGGCTCGATTGCTCAAGATCCCTCCATTACCCCCAACAGCATGAATGTTAAGGGGTAAAAGCCTAATTGCGCCTCAACTGCGTCAAGGTTATGAGTCCTTCGAAAATCCTTCCCTGGATTTAGCGCCACCTGCCTTGATCTCTCGCTTCACCTGACAGCCGGTGAATTTTTGTGTCTTTTGAACATATGCTTCGATGAGGCCAAGCAGAAGAGAAGAAAATTACATAAAAGCGACCGAACGTTTACGAGCTTCCGATGAGCGTCTGCGTCTTACGTAGATGATAAGGATATTAATGTTCGTATGTAAATGGAAGCCCCATCCTCGTAATCGGCTCTTTGCTGTCCATGGCTTGTTTTCTGCGAATTTTTAGGTTTGATCTCTTGAATATCCGTCCAATTCCTCGTGCCAGGGGGCTCCGATGGTGTGGGCTAGCTGCATGTCTTCTTATTGTGTTGTACATCAAAAACGGAAATCCGAGATCTTGCCTGTTTCCACATTACGACATCGGTGGTCAAGGAGCTAGGGCAACTTTTGGAAATAGAAACACACGGGGGCTGCAATGGAATGTTCCATTGTTCTTCCTTGACCGAGCAGCGAATAGCCATGGGTTTTCTTATACTACAACAACTGGTGTTGTTAGATTGTTTACTTCTTTCACGTTGCATTGTATCATCAAACAACTAACCATTGAGTCAACCTTGTTGGTCTGCATCACAAAGTGCTCTGCAGTTATGTCTTACAAAGCTGCGGGAGCAACCGTCGGTCCATGCTTAGCGAACCGAAAAGCCCTATTCTATAAACTCATCACCCGAGAGGCTGAGGCCATTGCGGAGAATATTTTTTATTTGCAGTAGACCAAAGACGTAACGAAAGAGGCAATGGAGGTCCTTACAGAAATGTAAAAAATACATCAACATTTAGAGTCGACCATGCTTATCGGATATTTATGGAGATGCATAGCGGTCAACTCGTGGACGCTTGATTGTTTTAAGCCCGGATTTAGCATATCTGTGAGTTTTGCAAAATCCCCAATGTGACATCATGAGTCTTTCTGGTCCGTATGTAGCAGCGCCATCTACAACTTTTTAGACCCAACAACCCACTTTCTCTGCCCCCACGGATCGTTTCTTTCTGATTTATACAAAATCGCCGTTTCTTCAAACTTTATTTGAAAAAAGCCCTCTGAGCCCATTAGCAACTCCACCATGGACCCACTTACCCCCACGGCGAGGGGTAGAAGCGCTCTACATGTGCATTGCAAAGCAGCTACTTCAAAAATAGCCCCTGTGCCTTGACAACACATCACTACCGTAGCTGTATGAATCGAATCCTCTTTTCTCTTTTGCCACCTCAGAATCACCTCATCGACCCTTATCGTGACTCCACACGGGTACCTGCGCGCTGATAATGACTCAGAAAATCTTCAATACACCTCATGGGTACCTTGAAAAATGACTTGCGGGGGGTCTTCCACGGCCTCTCCCTCACAGATAAGCTTCTCCCGCTTCTTATTATCCTAGCTATAGTGCTAGGAGTGCTTTTATCCGTCTATGTGCCCAGCAGCAGAACTGCTTTGGATAGCTCCAAGGTGGTGGGGGTCTCAGTGCCTTTGGCAGTTGGCTTAATCGTGATGCTTCTTCCGCCGCTATGCAAAGTAGAGTGGGAGAACGTGTTGAAGTACTTCTCCAGATCCACCTACCTCAAGCCCATCTTGTTTTCGCTTGTGCTCAACTGGATCATTTGCCCCTTTTTCATGTTCGGGTTGGCATGGTTGACTCTTTTTGACCAGGACGAATACCGTACGGGTATCATCATGATCGGCTTGGCCAGATGCATCGCCATGGTCTTGTTGTGGAACGATATCGCCGATGGCGACAACACCTTGTGTGCGGTTATTGTCATTGTGAACAGCGTGCTACAGATCGTGCTCTATGCGCCATACCAGATTTTCTTCTGTTATGTCATCACTGGCCATTACCAGCAGACCTCCAGCTCTGTCACCTACTCTTTGGTGGCTAAGAGTGTCGCTTTTTTTATGGGTGTTCCTTTTGGGCTTGGCGTTATTATCAGACTTGTGGGAAGAGCTCTTTTGGGATCAAAGCGTTACGACAAGAGATTTTTACCATTCGTGAGCCCCTGGGCGCTTATCGGGCTTCTCTACACTATTGTGGTGATTTTCATGGAGAAGGGTAACGACTTCATTCAGGATATCGGCTCTGCTTTCCGTTGTTTCGTTCCATTGGTTGTCTACTTCATCGGCACTTTCTTTGGAACCCTCTTTTTGCTTCGTTGGTTGTACACTTACAGAATCTTCGAAAGCAGACACATCAAATTCGACGAGGTTGATGAGACCTCTGATGAGAAGAAGCCGCTTTGCGGTTGCGAGAAGACCAAGGAGTTGTATCCTGAGAAGTTCTCCTACGGCTGTGCTGCTCCTTACGGTGCAACTGTGGCGCAGACTTTCACGGCTGCATCAAATAACTTCGAGTTGAGTCTTGCCATTGCCATTTCCATCTACGGTTCTGGAAGCAAGCAGGCTATCGCTGCCACTTTTGGCCCGCTTATTGAGGTGCCAGTCTTGTTGTTGCTTGTGTTTGTTGCCAGGTATTTCAAGGTCAGGTTCGTCTGGATCGACGTTGAGCCCCTTCAGGATGCTGATGAGGAAGCGGAGGAGGCAGGCGAGGTTACTGTTGAGGCCTAATGTCTCATTGCTTATTTATTGTTCATAGGTTTCGGATAAAATTGTTTAATGCGGAGTGCATTAGACGTACTAAATGAAACGTTAGCGTAGCGGGATTTGGCTTGTCCATGCTCTGTGATTTCAGAGGAATACTTGGCTCATGGCGAAGCAGCTCATGGTGAGCTTGGCAATAGTCAATTCTTTGATCGACCTGAAACTGTCCAAGAATTCTGCCCGAATGAAATTATAGTGTGGCGGTACTAACTTTCATGAGTTGTTTGGGTGTCTACATCCCCTAACATGTTATCATGTAGCCAAAAACTATGTTTTGTGTCAACTTGAATAAAAAGTCATATTCTCTCACATTCCGATATTGGGAGATCTCTGGAAAGGTGGGTAGGTATCTCCACTTTGGCTGCGAAAAATGCATTCTCGAGAAAAAGGTGAACCTTCAATCAGCCACCAAAAATCGAAATCTAGACGAATTCTACCAACAGTCATACAATCTACTCATCTCCACCCAAAGAGCATAACTATACTGAATTCAGGGCAATGGCAGGCACTGTGCTGTGTTCACAGAGTAGGGTAGTCAAACTCTAATCTGAGAGCGTAACACAGTACCTTCTTACAGCAAAGGCAAAGCACAGCCCAGTAGACAAAAAGAACAAGACCAAAGAGATACCACATCCAATTATCCGACCCCCACTTTCTAACCATCAACCACCGCCCAAACCGGTGTGACGTGGGGTACCGTTTTCAGCCTGCGATTTACGAACCAAGCACCCATGAGTACATTTGGGCACCAGCCAGCCACCACCACAGTACCCCCGTAGCAAGTGCCAAAACCTACAAAACAGAAATGCAGCGTAAGGTTTCGGCTCCCTAGACGACCGGAACCTCGAGAACGAAGCAGCGAAGTCAAAAGAGTGTCAGCTGATGGAGGCGCAACGAGTCCATCTGCACCAAGGGTTCTTTAAGCGTCTAGACCAGAAAGAGGAAGCCAGCATGGGGAGAATCAGCGAATGGCGAGCCGGCAATTCAGCTATGCTGGTTGAATACGAAGCGATCCAAAACAAAACCAGAAGACGAACTTTCAGCGAACTTTCCAGCAATTTGTGTCGGCTGGTCCGGGTCCATGCAACTCCGTGCGAAGCCGGGTCCACCACGGCAGCCAGGGGCTCCGCAACCGACAAATGAGAGAATTACGATTTGAGGGATTTCAGGAAGGTTGGCATTTCTGGCGTTTTGCAAAATTATGGTTTGACCGTCCTCGGATCCACCGCCCAAAACATCAAGACCATTCTATTGATGCCGGTTTCTGCAGGCAACCGACCATTATCAGTGCTCTTACGGGTCGCGCCGGTCTACGAAAATCTAGAGGCGAAACGCGCCTCGCACCTAACACGGACACACCATCGATCTGGCCAAAACCAAACAAACAAAGTCAATGAGCGTTTGCAAAGAATAGAAGATGTTCAATTGGTTGATATAAGACTTTTTTTAAATTTATCTTGTCCAATAACCAAAGACCTTCTTCGGGGTGCGCCTTTGGTGTTGGCACAATTTGGGCCATTTGGGCCCGGCCGAGGATATCAGACAGGAATGGTCTGGACGTTGCCCCTGCATCGAGCACCGGAGCGAGCTCCAGAGGAAGCAAAACCGCAAGACTCTGGCATCCAAAACCGCTGTTTTCCAATCTCCCAATGTCCATTCTTTTCACCACAGGGGCTACCGTCACGTTCCACAAGCTCGTGGACCACGTGGTGGAGCCGCTGTTCGTGCTGGACTTGAACGCCTTGGGCTTCACCAAAGTGGCCATCCAGTTTGGCAACGAGGTGTCCCACTCCAAGCATGTCAGCAAACAGTATTTTTCCGACGCCATGGCGAAAACTGAGTTTATGGAGAAGCTCGACTTGCAGATCTCCAACGAGTTCAACGACAAGCTGGTGGTGCACTTGGCCCTGCTGGACTTGGACTTGAACATCGAGGTGTTTCCCTTTGCTCCCTGCATCAACGACTACATTGCCGGCGCCGACATTGTGGTATCTCACGCCGGAACGGGCTCTATTTTGGACGTGCTCAGGCTCGGCAAGCCCTTGATTGTTGTCACCAACCAGGACTTGATGAACGACCACCAGGAGGAGGTGGCTGCCCAGTTCGAGAAGTTGGGCTACCTCTACCGCGTCAACACCGCCGAAATGCGCCTGGGCAAGCTTCTCGACCTCATCTCCCAGTTCCACAAGGGCCTGCTACGTTTTTCTCATATGCTGGCGCCCTCAGACGGAGTCATCGAACAGGTGCTCTCCGAGGAGCTAGAACGTGCCCGCAGGTGACCGGGCGCCGCTGGCGCGTGCCCTAGATTCTCCTTTTGCTCACATTTTCATCTTGTTGGGCCTGTCAAAGGCCCTACTGCCGGAACCCACGCATAGGTTCTGGCCCGCTCACCCCTCGAGACCCCTCACTTGTCCGCTCCTTAGGTCCCCACGAGGCATTATATAAGCACTGTTTTTTTTTGCTTCATCCACGGCTTCCATCATGGCTAATTCGCTTCCAGGCCACATACGGCTGATATTTATTGGTTGCAACCTCTCCACTCCGTCAAGCCTGTATATAATGACATACATACACCATCAAGTATATGTTCCATAATTGAACCACTCTTGTTCCCCATGTACTCCTACAGACAAACAGCCGTTCCTTCTCGGCGCCGCAGAAGACCTAGATACTTCACAAAAGATATTGAAACTTTGTTATATGCTTTGGGCGATGGTCCTGTGTCGCTAGATTCCACAGTTAACTGCTTGGAAGATTGTCTAGTGGAGTACCTCTCTGACATGATGCACGAAACATCACAATTTGCCAAATCTCAAGGCAGATCCAAGATCAAGCAGGATGACTTGCCATTTGCTCTTCGAAATGACCCCATGAAGCTCGGAAGATTGGAGGACATCAAGGAATTGCTTAATAAGATTACCAGAGCTAGAAACATGTTGGACGAGTCTGCCACTGCCACTCTGGAGTATTTGGATGATGAAGACGAGGAAGAAGGAGAGAAGAAACCTCGTAAAGGAAAGAAGCGTGGTCGCAAAAAGAAGGTGCAACAAAATACAGCAAATGAGTCCAACGAAAGCGAGTAATCTATTTATCACTAACCGGCTCACTCCGCGCCTTCATCAAGATCAACATTCTGGACAGCAGTTCCACGAACATACTTCTCGTTCTTTACCTGTGTGTTGAAATGTTCAAGCAAGCGGATACCGCCAAGCAGCGCCTTCACAGTTACATAAGAGGCTATTGATGCCAACGCAAATGTAACTGAGTCCCAAGCAAACGTCAAAAACCAACCTATCACCAAGAAGTGGATCAAATCATCCACCAAACCAACACTCCATGTGTACCTCAAGATTGACTGCTCCTTCCTCTCATACAGCCATGTGTTGTATAATGGGCTCATGAGGAGACCACATAACGCAAAATGAATGGCCAAAGCAATGTACTTTGGATTTTGAAAGTCATCAAATACACTCTTGCCAAACAATGTGTACTCGGCATCCAACCATGCCGCTCCAACTTGTAACAGAACGGCAAAATGAGAGATGAGGGCCACCCACGTCTCTGGCGCCGACCTTCCGCCAACGTTGACATTCAAATTCATGGCTTCAGGGAATGGGTTTGGTATCTCGATAGGACTGAATGGCTGTCCGTCAAGCGACAACAATAACAGAACAAAGAAACCAAGTCCCAAACAGAGAGACAGAATGTCAACACGAGATCCATCAACTTCCCATGGGTTGTATGGTACACCAATCCAATCCGTGATAATATAGAATGCTTTGAGCGTAAGTCTTCCTGGGAATAAAGCTGACACACCCACAAACACGAAGAGTAGCTGGGCAAAGATGCCCAAGAGCAAAACCAAGAGCATGCACCTGGTCTTGAAGTTTGGAGGACGATAGACAATGACATAGCTTTGCTCGTAGTTGAGCTCCACATCAGAGTAGTCCGACTCGTATCCATCCTCATGATCATGACTCTTTGGCTCTTCCTCATTAATGGGCTGATCAGCTCTGGTGACAGGAATGAACAACTGATCAATGAACTTTCGTGAAGTATCACTCGAAGGAGCCCTCACGAAGTTTCCATCAGGGACAAAGCACGCGTTCACACCAGGCTCCTTGAGCTTCTGACGAGCTTCACCGTAGGTGACTGGATGTTGGTAGTCAGGGGTGGCACCGTAGAGCTCATGGAACCAGTTCCGATAAACGATGTGACCACGTTCCTCGGCGATAGGGGTTCCAAGAATGAAATCAGAAAGTCTCAACTTGTAGCAGACCACTTGGAATACACGTTCCCAGAACTTGACACAGTAACGAGCAAGAGTCTCATGCTTCTGATGAAGCTGCAAACCAATGCCAACCAAGTAGAACACTCCTGTCCAGTTCAACGTCACAGGCAAAAAGATGCGCTCATTTGGATTGGAAGAAGCGGTGAACCAACGGAGGCCCCAAGTCACAAGACCAATTCCCAATATGATATTACCGGTGTAAAATTTGGCACTGAGCCAAATACGCAGCATTTGGAACCTGAGTGATTTCACAAGGGCATCATGTATGAGTCTTGCGTTGGGGTCCTCAGGACTTCTGATGAAGAAAAGAACACCTGGACGCAAGATCTGACTTCTCAACATGCCAACATACAATGCAAAGCAAAGCATGTAAATTGTGCCAAAACCCCAATAGATAAGTACTCGAGCGGATGGGGAGTTGTAGTGCTCGAGAGATGCAATGAAAAGGTACTCGTATGAGAATGAGCCGTCCTTGTTCTTTATCACCAAGTCAGTCTTGAAGAGTGGTGCCAAACAAATATCTATGAGCCAGCCACAGTAAACTGGGAACACAACTATCTCGACGGCAAACACAACAAAAACTTTGGCAGTAGCTGTAATTTCGAAAAGAAGTTTGTAGACTCTTCTTGCATTTCCAACGAGAGGCTTTTTACCAGACACCATACTTTTCATAGCTGCGTAGATAGCATAGCAGCCGACAAAATAGCCAATGGACAATGCCACAACCCTTTGGGGTAAAGTTGCAGGACCAGTATTCACGAGGGAAAGACAGCGAGATAAAGTATCCTTGGTAGGTTGGAGGAAGACATCAAACACGAAGAAGCGGGTATTGACTAAGATGTCCGACTTTAAGTATTGCTTATGAGCGAAGTTTAGGATTGGACTCAAGTGTGCTTTGGCAATGACGAGGAACGCGACTCTTTCATGATAGTCTCTGATTAATGTGTATAATGATGCAGTGAAGAATAGGACGAGGTTTCCTATCATATGTGGTACGAGGTATGCGGCGAATAGGAAGATCATGACAATGGCGTCCACCAACACTGTGAGCAAAAGTGGAGTCGAAAGGTTGAGCTTGAGGCCAATGATCTCCAAAATACCCTCGTCAAGCTCCTCTGGCTGACGATCGATTCCTGCAACATCCTGGAGGTTTTGGTCCATGTCTGCTGGATCCCAAACTGCATCGTTGTTGTCAGAGTGTTCTGAGGATGCGTCCAGGTTGGAGCCAGAGTCATTGTCGTTGCCGTCGTAGACGTAATCCTCATCTGCTGAATCATCTGAAGCTTCAGCCACGTGTGGATTGGGGGCATTCTCCATGTCGATACCGGCGTGTGGGTCGTTCTCTGGTTCATTGGGTGCAACATGGTTGGCAGGCATCTCGGGAAGTGGAAGGGGCGCTGCGCCAGGCAAGGCATCCCGTTGATTCTCTCCACGAATCAAGTCGTCGAACTCGCCATTGTTGAGTGCGTTGCGGAGCTCGACCTCGCGAGTGAATTCTTCGGGAACGTTCCTGAGATCACGAATCGCCTCGTTTACGAGATCTAGCGGCATGGGACGGTTGCGATTGGCTTCGTTACCGCCATTTTCGCCGTTTTCGCCATTTCCATCTTGATTCTCTTGTGCATCGTTCTGCAAACCCTGTAGTAGGTCCAATAACTTGGAGCGGGGTTCACGGCCAATGTCGTTGAGAAGCATTTTCGTGTAACCGTCGTCTCTGACGACCCACTCGTGTTCCACAAAGATGGCCAATAGCATGATCACAAAGGCACATACGTGGACCATACCGTTCAGGAAGGTGTTGAAAAATAGGTAGACGGCCTTGTCGAACCATGTGGAGTCTTTCGTCAACGGCAGATTCTCATCGAAGCACGCCAACGTGCCGTAAAGAAGCAGTAGCGGAATACTGCCGCCCGGCGGAAGCGGCCCATCGACCAAAAATGTGTAGACACGCCCCACGATCTTCCAGAAGATGGGGAGCTGGAGCAAGAACATGATATAAAGAACCGCCAGAAAGTGTTGCGTCAATGTGGTGGTCACTGTGCTGACGATCTTAGCCCAGATAAGCAGTAGCGGGACACGCTTGGGCATATTGGGGTCATATATGGTTTTGAACCGATATTGGGTATTACAGATGTCACACTGCTTGGTGGACTTGGAGGAGTGCTTGAGCCACTCCAAAAGACAATCTTCATGGATATAACGAATAGAGCCTCTGCATTTACACGGATGGATAAGCGGCTGTTTCCTTGTTGCTTCGCCACGGCAGATTCGACAGCTATGTTCTTCGGTCATGGAGTAAAGGTGAGTTGATAGTTGTGCAGGCGACCTGGAGGCCGTGATGTAGACCATACGGGGGAGGTACTATGTGAAGGGTTGGACAAAAAAAGACCGAGGAGATATTTTGAAAAAAATCTGGATTGATGAAAATGGAAGGTTTTGTTGTTTTTTTCGGTTTGACGGATATTTTGTGATGGATTCTGAGACATCGGTCTGGCCATTGCGAGCATAGCTAAAGTGAGCAACGCCACATACTAGGGTTTTGGCAAAGTTACATATTGTATCTACAAATTTTGGGATTTCTTGGATCAGAGTGTTTTTAGTATGATTTGAACCTGTTTATAGAAATTTGTGGTGGTAGGTGGCAAGTAGACTCAAGAACGGGAGTTTCATGTCTCAACCTCGAATTCCAACGAAACAGGCTTGGAACAAGTGAAGCGATCCCAGCTCCGTATACAGATTAAATAAGCAATTGTGCCTACCGAGGCTTTTGCAATTTTGGCTTAATCGTTCTTACTCTGAAACCAATGAAAAGGCGGTTTTCAGCCCTACTCATTTCCACGCAATTATCGTTTCATGAACTATATTTATGATGTAGCTTAATTTGCCACAGCCTCCTCCACAACAACATTCTCAACAACAGCATCCTCAGCCACAACGCCGCTCTCGTCACCTTCAGATGGAGCAGGGTCCTCAGGAACAGCTTGTGGCTTGCCCTTGTTCTCAGTGGCCTCATCAGCCAACTCACCCACAGGAGCCTCCTCGTCTTCTCTCAAGAAGTCTGGCAATGGGCCCTTGTGAGTCTCTGGTGGAGGTGGAGCCTCGAAAGTCTCGGCCAGCAGCTCGTGCTGTTCCTTCTGTGCCTCCTGCTTGACGGCTCTTGGAGTCTCCTTGGCCTCATTGACCACAACGGTCAGTGGGTTGGACAAAGTGCTCTGAGCCACGGAGCTCTTCAACGAGCTGTACTGGGCGGAGTTTTCAAGGAAAGTGTTACAGTCGTAGTCCCAAGAGGAAACCCACTTGGTGGACTTGCACTGGCCCTTGGTCCACTGAGAACCGTAGATCAATGGCGAGAAGTACAAGTAGATGGTGACGGCACCACCCAAGTAAGCAACCAACAAGTTGGCACCCTTTCTGCCCAAGAAGGAGTTGGACACGAACAATTCGAACAAGTGACCAAGACCCAAAATGGCAAAGTACTGCGAAGGCAAGTAGTGGTGCAAGAACAACTGTCTGCCCATGATGAAGAACGGAGCGTAGTGGATGAACCAACCAAGGAAGTAACTGAGCATCTGGTAGTTGAAGTGGAACACATCCTTGGACTGTGCAATCTGCTTGCCGGTCTGCCACTTCAAGATGGAGATACCAACGTGGATGATGAAAGCAACCAAAGCAGCAGAGGCAGACCACCAAACAAGAGGGTTACCGAGGAAGTAAACCTGGGTGTGGTTCTTGCCCCAGTAGTTGATACCACGCAACAACAATGGCCAGTCCTGAGGGCTGGATTGCCAGTTGTGGTGAGAGGTCAAACCCTGGTTGATCTTCCACATGGTCTTGTGGGACTCAATGAACTTCTCGAGGAAGCTCAATGGCTTATATCTGGCAACCTCTCTCTTCTCAGCAGGCAATCTCTGGTCGGCGTTGTTGGTCTCGATGTACCAGTGGGTCAAAGGTCTAGCACCCTGACCAGCGGCAGTAACCTCCTGCTGCTCGAAACCCCAGCTTGGCAACTTAACCTCACTGGAGAACAAGTAGTGGCCGGTCATGGCGTGTCTCAATCTGAAGATGGTGTCAATGGCTCTGATTTCCTTCTGGGCAACACCCTTGGTCTTGTGCTTGACCACCTCGAAAATCCAGTCATCGTTGGCGTCGCCGCCAAAGCCCTCGTAACCGTAACAGGACACTTCCTTTTGCCAGTCACGCTCACTGACAGGAGGCTTCTCGTCGTGGGAGTGCAATCTTCTCTTGGAATTGACATGGACCAATCTGACCTTGTCACCGTCCTTAAGCTGAACAAACTCGTCTGGAATAGAGCGGTTGTATGGCTCAATCAACCACTCGTTGTTGGTGTCCAAGTGGGGGTATAAGGTGATCTGCTGCTGCTTGGAACCGGTTGGGTACATGTGGTTGTGAGAGTGCAAGTATCCACCTCTGGTGTTCACATGACGAATGGAGATAAGCGAGCCGTAACCAACCTGAGAGGTGGTCTGTCTTGGGACAAGAGAGCCAGTCAAACCGGCACGGAAACCGCTGGTCATGAAGGCAGATCCGTCACCGTCGTTGGACAAGACGTTGAAGTGGATGCTGAACACGAACAAGTACAAAATGACTGGAACACCCAACAAGAAAGAAGCACGGGCAACAGCGTGTTTCCAGACAGCCTTGGGCGAGACGGACAAGTCACCAATGAGGAACCACATGTGGCCCACACAGCACACACCGACCCAAGCGATGGTGAACAAACCGACCCACTTGGAGCTGAAAGCCATACCCAAGGCAAGCGAGCACAGCAAAAGCAGGCGGAAGTAGTTGAAAGTGAAAGCCTGCTGCACCTCGAACTTCTTGAACGCGTAGATAGCGGCAGCGATGAAGAACATGAGGGGAGAGTCAAGCAAAATGTATCTGGAGATGGTGACGAACGAGTTCTCGACCAAGAGAGCACCAGCAGTGGTGAAAGCAACAATTGGACGCACACCAGACGAACGCAAGGTCAAATAGCAGAGGAACACGGTACCCAAGCCCAAAACAGCTGGGAAGGCTCTCATCAACACGTAAGGAACGGTAGCAGGGAAAACGTCACCAATGTGAGCGAAATCAAAGTCACCCTTGAAACCGGCAATAGAGCCAACAGCTGCAAAGAGCAACTTGGCCAATGGAGGGTGCACATCCATGAAGAAAGCACCGTTGATGTACTTTTTGGCGAAGCCACCAAAGTGGACCTCGTCAAAAACAACAGAGTTAGGGTGGCTCAAGTTCTGCAAACGAACGTACAAACCAGCGGCAAACAAAATAGCCAACAAGGCGTATTCCTTACCAGAAACCGTCCTGGCCTTGGTGATGTACTCTGGAGTGGAAGTCAAGAGATATTCACGGTACTGGCCCTTTTCGAATTGGGGCTGCTGAACCGTGTCCAACTCATACAAAGAGTCTAAATCGGCCTGGGGGGCCTTGGACTCCTTTGTGGATTTTGCCATGTTGAAGCAGGAGACTGGGTAGTTGGAGGATTTTCAAAAATACACGTAGTAGTTTTTCCTGCACCACGCACTGAGGCCACCACAGAGAAGACTGCTGGATCGCGTTTTTCAACGTGGCTGAAATGTATGGGATGGGTGTGGGTGTGAAAAATACGAATTTAAAGAGGTGATTTAAATTTTCGATAAGTTACTTAGATTGAAAATGGCCTTTTCATGCAATTGGACTACATCGGATGAAAAAGATACGGGATGCTGGGATCGCGAAACGGCTGCGAAAAGCGAGTCGGACTTGGCATCAAAAAGTTTTCATGAGCGTCGGGAAATGATGATTTTGGGGAATTTAAGCTTTTTGAAGGGTTTTGAAGCTTGATTGGAGGAAGCGTAGCAAAATTGGATATGGGATTGAAAAAAATCTAAAATGCGGGGATACCTCTCGGCGTAACGGTTAGGAGAAGTGCTCTAAGTAAGGTATGAGTTAGGCCGACATAACAGATGATTGATTGTGTAAATGAAGATGATCATATTGTTGCGTTAATCGTAAAACATGGACAGATTTCGCCTCTGGAGATATCGGCAATCTGAGACATTCACCTGAGGTCAATTTGCAGCCGTGAACCGTAGATTTGAATAGATATGGACACCCAGGCTGCAGACCACGATTCGTCTAAATCAGTCAACCAGGCGTCTTGGCCATTAACGCGTTACTGGAATTTCGGAACGTTGTTATGGTTTACCATAAGAAACGCAGAGATGCTTAAAAGTTGCATCCCGAGAACGATGCAAGAGATTGGGGTTAGACGAGCCGGCTTAAACGTGAAAAAATGAGCTTTGAAGTTTGAAATACCGCTTTTAAGTGAAACTGGAATCTATCCTTGTAGCATGAGTAGCAGCAGCTTCATATTAGTGGGTTCATTTCATTCAAGCTTTAACTGACTACATCATGGACTGCAAAGCGGGACCGACAAAGCTGTGAATCCAATTGGTCGAGTTACATTTGTCGCCTGAAAAATCACGAACTGAGCCAAAAAATGTACCAAGTTTTGTCCTTATGCCCCTCGGCCTTATCGGTCAACCATGTCTTACTATGGAAGAGGCACTTTTTCAACTGTCGGCGCTTATAAGCGCAAAAGTGATGTTCGTGAATTTTAAAAAATTCCGTAAGATAACGAGATGACACAAATTGGCCGAGATTCTGCACAATCAATTTAACCTCCTTGGCTCAGGGTCCTTGCATGCTTCTTTGCAGCCACCCAGACCCACCAAAACCCCAAATGCCAAAAACCCACAAACAAATTAGCTATTTCACTTATTTGATCCAAAATTCTCGTAAAGTAGAATTTTTTCCAAAACGCCCCGTTTTTGTGTCCTCTCCATTGCCAAATTGGGCCCTTACTAATACCCGCTTCAGCAATCGCTCAACTCTACACAGGCGATCACCAGTGGAGCTTTTGCTACTACATGGTTATTTGGAAACCAACCACGTTACGTCCCCTCAGCCAACTAAAGAACTTCTATCGCCACATGCACGTTGAGATTATTCCCCAATCCTGGGGTAAGGGAAACAACTACGGATATCTTTTGGTGGATGAACCATCCAGACACGCTTGGTTGATAGACCTGGCTTTCCCCGAGGATGTTGAAGCTTACATTTCCGAAAAAAGACCCAATTTCGAGTTGAAGGCTATTGTCAACACTCACCATCACTGGGACCACGCCGGTGGCAACGAACACTTCCACAAAAAGTACCCAGACTTGCCTATCATTGCAGGTAAGGATTCTGAATTAGTCACCTACACACCTTCCCACCAGGAGGTGATCGACTTGGGCGACCAGTTGCTGATCACAGCTTTGCACACGCCGTGCCACACCCAGGATTCTATCTGCTACTACGTCAAGGACTCCAAGACAGGACAGAAGGGCGTTTTCACTGGAGACACCTTGTTTATTTCCGGCTGTGGCCGCTTCTTCGAGGGAACGCCTGGTCAGATGAACTCAGCGCTCAACGAAATCTTGGGTAAGTTGCCCAAGGAGACCGTCACCTACCCAGGCCACGAATACACCAAGGGAAATCTCAACTTCAGCAAAACCGTCTTGCAGAACAAGTCGATTGATAAGCTCCAAGATTTCCTCAGCCAGAATAGCGTCACTGCCGGTCAGTTCACTATCGGCGACGAGCTCGAGTTCAACCCGTTTATGCGTCTCCTGGATCCCCAGGTTTTGAAGGCTACTGCTGCATCAGGTGCTGTCGACGTCATGGCCAAGTTGCGTGAAATGAAGAATAACGCTTGAAACTACGTCAATGAAAGCTCTACATTTGCCGCCTTTTCGTAATATCCTTGTTTTTTATCTGTCACTCCTTTTATCTGTCACTCCTTTTATCGGTCACCTTTTTATCGGTCACTGCCTGACAAACCCCGGAAGCCACTCTTCCTCGTAGCTGAGCTCGGGCTGCCACATCTCTATAAACTCCAAGTCAAACTCGGACTTGCCCATGGCGAATTTCTCGTACTCCTCGAAGATCCCACTCATGCACCAGCCTTGGAGAATTTTCCGCATTAGTCCCACCAACACACCTATTCGGTGCTTGCCCTTGTTCGAATGTATGAGTATGGGGAAGTTTCTCTTATCTAGTATGAGATGTAGGGCTGCTTCGAGGGACTCTTGCGTCTGAATTTGCGTCTCTAACAGCGTAAACGGCTCCTGTGACGAATGCACCAACAATGGGCAAAACTTGATATCCGTAGAGTCGATCCATGCCTTGTACTTTTCGTATATGGCAGCAGAGCCATTTTTGTCCTTCTTTGGCTTATCTGCCTTCTCTTTATTCTTTGGTTTCTCGTGGGACAAGTCCCCCACATATATGATCGTCTTGAGTTTGAGCTGTTGCATGAATGGATAGTTGATGGGCATTGGAAACCCGGAACGGTAAATTCCGTCCTCCACCAAGGAAAAATTCAAAGGCGGAACGTAATTTGGTCGGGGTGTTATCGTTGTTCTCATCAAGACTTGATCTTCCTCCTGGGCCTCCTGCTGAGCGCCATTTTGTGAGTCCTTTGTTTGATCTCGACTTGACTCTAAGCTCGGGCTACCGGTTCGGGTAACCTCTGCAGATGATTTCTCCTGTGACATGCAATTCAGACAAGGTTGTCTGAGGTTCCTTCAAGAACGACTTCCAGTTTGGGCCTGAGAGCCATACACCCGTGCACCTCACCGCTGCTTATCGGCTAGAATGGCTGCAAATGGAGTCTGGTTAGATCGTAATATGACGATTATGCTATAAAAGAGGCTGAAATTTCGGAAGAAGAGGCGTTCTAGGTCTCAGCTGCTGCACATTGTTCTGGACAATGGGCGACGAGGGTTGCTGTGGCTGTGGCAATATGGGTTCCGGGATACTTGCCGGTATCGATGATGGAATGGAGGGAGTCTGTTTGAAAGGTGGGGGTAAAATTATCCTTGGCGAGTCGTCAGAGTACCTTGACAGCGTGACTGTATTAGCCATCTCATACGTTGGGATGCTGGGGATTCTCTGGGGGAAAATCTCGAGCTCAATGTTGTCTTCCTTGCCAAAGATATTCTCAAGGTCAAAGTCTGAACTGATGTAAGCACCAGTCTTAAAATTGCGGAGTCCATAGATTTGGTTACCATTGAGCTTGAATGCTTGTGTAGCGTTCTCCATCACCTCCACAAAACGGGGTGGCGCCGAGTTTCTTGTCGGATATGTAAACTCAAGAGAGGAGGACAAGAAACGGAGCACCACCAGCTTTTTATCCGAGTCAAGCTCAGAGGAAGCTCTTGCGTGACTTCTAAGCTCGGTTGCCACAGCGGCCAAATTAGTGAGCGAGAAGTTGCCGCTTTGTGAGATCTCTGAGTCTGGTGTCTGCTGAGAGTTTTCCACCTCTGTCCGAAGAAACGGTTTTGAAGAGTTCAGCACCAACGGGTAATCTAGAAGAATGCTGCGGTAGAAAGCTTCGCCAAGCGGGTACAATATACGATCAAAGCCAAAATCTTTGATGCAGCAGCCAACAAGGGTCTGTAAGGTCAACGAGGCCGTCTCGTCATCGAGAGACTTGTTCACATGCGAGTCGGGTTCCAAGCTCCTGTAGAATTGAGCTAGAAAGGGATGCAGAAGTAGTTTCTCCAGAAGATAGTCTATGGATGTCTGGTTGAGGTTGATGAAGGACTTCTCAAACATCAAGGCGGCTATAGCGCCTATGGAGTTCTGGCCCAAGCCACGGAGAAACTCGTTTCTTGTTTTTGTTGTGGATTCCAAGCACAGCCTGGATCTTTTCATTAGGAGCAAAAGCGCTATTCTGATCGCTTGGAGCTCTTTTTCATTCTCAGCTTGCGACTGACAAGAACTGGGAATGCTAGGCAAAGGCGGGAGCATCACGCCGAGGTGGGGCCGAGACTCGAACTTGCTCAGCAACGGCTGAATGATCGAGCCTATAGCAGCTCGGGACTGGTCCTGGTTCGTGATCGCTTTCGTCCTCGAGTAGTTCATGTCGTAAACCTCGTCGTTCCCGTCTGTATTGAGTCTGGTGATTTCCGAAAGGAAACGATCGCTGTCGTGGCCGTTTGGCTCCGGAGTGGTGGTTTCTTGCTTGACATCCGAAGAGCCCTCGGACGAAACCCTCTGTCTTTTGGAAGTTCCATTTCGTTTCAGCTTTGTGGATCTTTTCCGGTTCCGGCGAACACTCTGGACGGCAGCACGCACGAGCTTGTCGAAATCCTCAAAGTACTGAACGTCGAACTTGAACTCCAAGCGCAATATCTCTGCAACCTTTCTAATCTCGTCCTCTTGCTCACTAGCCTTTTTCGAGCTGAGATCCAAAGTATCGATTAGCTCAAGCCGCCGGGCCAGAAACCGTTTCCAGAGCCGCTCGTCCTGAAAATTTAGCTTTTCCCTTATGCTATGGGTAACACCTAGCTTCTTGTCCTCGGCCATGGGAGTAGGAAGCATGCTTAGAAAGCAGGAGTGGGATGATTCAAAATCATCATGACTCCGAGCCCGCGCGAAATTTGGCCTCACCAGATCTTGACTCATGACTCCGAATCATCCGGACCTAGACAAAGCCCCGGCGGTGGCGAATCTACACAAAAGGTGGGAGACTTAAAACCTTTAATTTATGATAATTCGGACAATTTTTTGATTTTCATAGTGGGGCCTCGGATGGTGCTGTTATTTGAATTCGGGTGTTTGGGCAGAATTCCGCGGGCTCGGCGCCAGGCGAAACCGAGACGGCTAAGTCAGGTGCCGAGAAAGAAGCAGAGGATTAGGAAGGTGGGGGAATATAAGAGTTTTCAAGGGGACTGATTTGTTGGAAATGGGTTTTAAGCAGATATGAAGTGACGCTATTGGATGCTATTGGATGCTCCCAGTTTGTTGGTTTTCAAGGTACCGCAGGCTTGAATAGGTGCACTGCGGTCACTGGCTGCAAATGGACCCATATTTTTCAACCACTAGGTATTTTAGGTGCGATGAAAGAGTTCAGACGAATTAGAGAGGAAGTTGAGGCCGAACAGTAAAAGACTCAAATTAGCTCACGGACACTCAAGGCATTGTCTACTATCTTGGGCTGATCTGACGGTAGCGACAGTATGACGAATGTTCCATGTTACAACAACAAGTTTGGCCCTAAACCCAGTTTTATATGATAAAAAGAAGGCCAAGAGCCAAAAGAAACGCATTTCTTCACGTAAGCATGGACAGCGGAGAATTTGAATTGACGTTAGCTGATTTGAAGGTTGTGCAAGAGCGCCTGGCAAAAGGCTCCATACAATCCAAACTTATCTTCAGGATGCAAAATCATTGGTTTTTTCACCCCGGCCAAAAATTAGTCTCCAATTGCTCAGAAACACGAGCTCCCACACCAATTTCATCGAGAACTCAAAATCTCATTACTAGTGGTTCGCATGGTAGACTAGACCAACCGACAGCGTCCAGTGATCTCACATCTAAGATCAGCAGCAGATCAGCCGTGGGCCATCTCCAAAGAATCTCAACTCTAATTAAGAAAATCCCCACTTTCACTCCAAATCCAGCAGACTTCGGCAATTGCCAGCCATAAATAAATCTTCTACGACACCCCACGGCTGGCTCAATCCAGATCACACCTCGTCGCTGGGACCTTCCCTCAACGTACCCTCCAAACACCCATTTGCAGCCATTGTCTCGAAAACTCCCCCCGCCTAATCTCCCTCGGCCTGCCTTACCCTTTTCACCCCATTGTCATCGAAAAAACGAAGCCACGGCATACGCTGCCTGTCCATACTGTGACTCTTTGTTTTCTGCATGCTCCATTGACTCACCGCGTGAGAGTGGAGAAGTCAGTGTGGCATTTCTACACTCTCAGCGTGGGAGAGATCTTCTCAAAACGGAAACCATCAAACCAGCCGCCATCCCACCACAATCCTTCATTTTCCAACCCAAAAACACCAATTCTGTAAAAAAGTGGCCTCGTCGTCGAGGTGGAGTGACTCATGGCCTGTGGACAAGCCGATCCTGGCGTGGGCCTTCCCAATGCGGTAAGTGAAAAAACTTTTGCCGCGATGGACAATCAGTATAAAGTGCCCTGTTATCGCTCCCCTTCCACCACTTTTTTTCTTCATCATATTACTCTCATAAACACCACCCACAATGTCTAAAGGAAAAGTTTGTTTGGCTTACTCCGGCGGTTTGGATACCTCCGTGATCCTCGCCTGGTTGCTCGAACAGGGCTACGAGGTTGTGGCCTTTTTGGCCAACATAGGTCAGGAAGAAGACTTTGAAGAAGCCGAGAAGAAGGCCTTGGCCATTGGTGCTTCCAAGTTCGTTGTTGCCGATGTCAGAAAACAGTTTGTTGAGCAGGTCTGCTTCCCCGCTATCCAGGCCAACGCTGTCTACGAGAACGTCTACCTTTTGGGTACTTCTTTGGCTAGACCAGTGATTGCCCAGGCTCAGATCCAGGTTGCTGAAGACGAGGGCTGTTTCGCTGTGTCCCACGGCTGTACCGGTAAGGGTAACGACCAGGTTCGTTTCGAGTTGTCCTTCTACGCCTTGAAGCCCGATGTGGTTGTCATTGCTCCATGGAGAGACCCAGAGTTCTTCAACAGATTTGCTGGCAGAAACGACTTGTTGGAGTACGCTGCTTCCAAGAACATCCCCGTTGCTCAGACCAAGGCCAAGCCATGGTCCACCGACGAGAACTTGGCCCACATTTCCTTCGAAGCCGGTATTTTGGAGGACCCCAACACCACCCCACCAAAGGACATGTGGAAGTTGACTGTGGACCCCACGGATGCTCCCGAGACCCCTGAGGACTTTGATGTTGTCTTTGAAAAGGGTTTGCCTGTCAAGTTGGTTTTGGACGGCGGCAAGAAGACCATCACTGACCCAGTCGAGTTGTTCCTTGAAGCCAATGCCTTGGCTAGAAGAAACGGTGTCGGCAGAATCGACATTGTCGAGAACAGATTCATTGGTATCAAGTCCAGAGGCTGTTACGAGACCCCAGGTTTGACCATCTTGAGATCTACCCACATTGACTTGGAAGGTTTGACCTTGGACAGAGAGGTCAGAGCCTTGAGAGACCAGTTTGTCACCATCTCCTACGCCAAGTTGTTGTACAACGGTATGTACTTCACCCCAGAGTGTGAGTACGTCAGATCCATGATTCCTCCTTCTCAGAAAACCGTCAATGGTACCGTCAGAGCCAGAGCCTACAAGGGTTCTTTGACGATCTTGGGTAGATACTCTGAGACCGAGAAGTTGTACGATGAGACTGAGTCTTCCATGGACGAGTTGACCGGCTTCTCTCCTGAGGACACTTCTGGTTTCATTGCTGTGCAATCCATCAGAATCAAGAAGTACGGTGAGGCTGCTCGTGAGAAGGGCCAGAAGTTGGATTTGTAAAAATAAGGTGTGTAATGTACGAATAGAATGTCATGATTAAACTATTTCTCGTATTTCATTAGCGTGAAGAGCTCGTCGTTCACATCGTACATCTCTCCGACAAGCGACTTGACAGTGATGACGATTTCGTCGATTTTCTTGTACACCAAATGCATCACAAGCAAGCACACGATGTTGAGCCTTCCATCGTGACTAAGCAATTTTTGGTAGTTCACATTTCGTCCCGATCTATTCCGTATTTCCCCGACGGCTTCGTCGATTGGTTCCAGGATTTCGGGATCATCGTAGAATCGCTCATTGAAAGTGACATCGCCATCGCCCCACTGTGAACTCACAACCTCAAAGTGTCTCAGCGACAAGTTTGCATTGGTCACCTTTGGCAATGGGGTCTTGCGTCGGAGTGCCGATGCAGACATGCTGGTAAGTGAAAGCACTTCGGCAACCAAACCTGCATTCGTCCAGCCAGCTCTATCGAGTATGATTGGTATCCATTCGTCGGTGTCTTCGATCTGATTGATCAGCTGGTAGATCAAATAATAGAGCTGGATGACGTCATTGACCAACAGTTGCAATGTCATGAACGTTTCGGCCGGCCAGGCCCCCGTGATAGCAGTCTCATACTTGATGAAACCCATCATTGCCTTGGCATTAGCAAGAGAGAACAACAAGTTCCTCATTTTGTCGCTAACTTCATCGTGACGAATCTTGACATGGACATTTGGGTTATCGAGACGCTTCAAAGCAAAGTCGGATATTTTGCAGAACATATCACTCGATTCTTCCAACAAACCAGACATGATTCTTCTAACTGCCACCTTAGAGCTCCTTGGTTTTGGGATTGCGCTTGCAAGCATGGCCACCGAAAGACCAATCACCACACTGATGTAACGAGTCACTGCCGGCCTCCATCCGACCCCAATGTTCGAAGCAAAGTCACTCCTTGTGTCCGCCCAACTGGTACCCAACACCAAAACAGGGGTAACTGTGACCATGATACCTGGAATCTTAGATTTGTGGACAGCCCATTGACGATAATATGCTGCTAAGAAGAAAACCACGGCGGACACCACCGCGAACCCGTATGGATTACCATTGCCGCTTCCTGTCGAGATATACCAACCAATCATTCCGGCAAGACATCCCACAAATGAGTATATCAACTTCAGGAAATACGAATAGACGGTCTCCGCGGTGTACTCGGCAATCGAGACACCGCATGTAACTGGAAGCCAAATCAACCTATTTGTGGTGTAAAATTCTGTGGAGGGTCTAAAGTAGTATGGAAAGCAGCAAAATTGTAGAAGCATACTTGCCCGAAGCCAAAACCACAAACGGCTACTGTAATAAAGTTTTCGGTAGAGCCGTATTAAGCCGACCACAAAGACTTGAAAAAGATTTTCTGGATCAAGGATATCCGGGTCCCTTCTATGCGTCAATTTTTTGCTCAAAGCATTTACCGGATCGTCAAATATATTGTGATTGACGGTGACATTTTTGTCGTGACGTGCTTTGGAGAAAATAGTGATCAACCTAGGTGTTGGCGCCATTTCATCGATTTCAAGAAGCACGTTGCATAGCCTAAGCATCTGATCCCCGATTTCCTGGCAAAAGAAAAGCAATATTGCGCTTTGGCTCACTAAGCATAATCTTTGCTCCTCACCTTTGAGCTCATTTGCGAGTCCTTGAATGTAGTCGTTCGCATGTTGAAGCTTCTCGACTTGTTGCTTCAATGAGTCCCTAGCTTGCAACAAAATTTCATGCTGCTCTTGCTGCGCTTGTTTATGTTTGGTCCACTTGAAGATGCTGTAAGTTCTGAATTCATTCGCAGTCGCTAGCCAAGATGATATGGCTTTGAGGGTTTTCGGAACCTCATCATGAAATTCAGAGTAATGCTCTTTCATATGGTCACAGATAACGTCTAGGTCGTGAAGGTTTATGGTGGATTCCTCTGTCTTCATGCTTAAAATATTCTTTCGTTTGTTCCTTCTCACCTCATTCTCAAAAACACCAACCCTCGCATAGGCTTGCCTGAAGGTGGCAACAAGCTTGTTATGGCTGCTCGAATATGTCTGACTCGATAAACTTCCTCTTCTTTTATCTTGCGTCCACACATTTCGAGCAATGTCTTTCCTCTCCTGAATTAGCTCGTAGAAATACTTGTAACCTGCTAGAACAGTGATCAAGGGCTTGATTCTGGATCTGATTTCCGCAAGATCACCCGGGTCGAACCTACTAAACGAGATTTCCCATCGTGCACTTATGAGAAACATTTCAACCGGCGCAAGCCTCACTCTGATTGCTTGAATATCAGATCCTAATTGATAGTGGTTTTCAAAGCTATCTAGGGAAGGCTTCAAAGATTTGAAGAATCTGCTGTTTTTCTCACAAGTTTGCGCAAGGGAACCGTGTATACTCGCAACAGCACCGAGATAGGCGAAGCTCGAGGTAAATGGGAAAACCACTAACCCACAAACAATTTTGAATGCAAATGCAAGAAGCATAGGCCTGATAAGAACGTTCGTTTCACCGGCTACAAATGTAGGCCAAGTAACGAACGTGACCGTATGGATGACGACACAGAGAGTACCAGCAACGAATGGCAACCTCATCAACGGGTGATACTTTTGAGTCCAGCCGTAAAATGCAAATGCAAAGAGGCACCCGAAAACCCAAATCACAGTGCAACGGGTCTCCAAATACCGTCCTTTGATAATTTCATTCAGATAACAAGATGCGGCATTATCGACCGAACAAACGCCATCTGATATTAGCTCCTGGATGAGCTCTTCCTGTGTTGGCCATCCCCTCAAATGCGTTGTTATGGCGCTACAGATAGTAACGACTAGCCAGGAGCAACATGCATACACGCAACACGCTAGGGCCACTGTGACGTTGATGACGCTGGAGAAGCCACCATTGGCCATGATAAAGCCCAAGATCTGGAACAAATAGCAGGCTTGACCAAACCATTTTTCAGTTTTGGGAACAATGCAAAGGAAAACGGTGGTCCATACCTGAACCCAAGTCTGTAACACCATCTTGACGTCACGTATTGTCAAGTGACCGAGGAGCCAGTCGGGATAGAAAAACTTTCCAAGCCTTCGCCAGAAGTTAGGTTTTGGCTCTGCTGTCTCTAGTGGAGCAGACGGTGGGGTATCGTGATAGACATTGTACACGGACGAGTCTGAGTCTTCTTTTTCGTCGGCAACTAGCCCCTGCGGCAGGTATTCCCTTACGGATTCCGAGGAGCGAGTCATGATTCAAGAACTTCTTGTGGTTGCCAGACTGGAGAGAAGCAATTGTGTCACTATATCAGCGATAAACTAAAACACAATGTGCAATGACAGCGCCCGCTGCAGGATTTAAATCTTGAGACTATGGCGCATCAGGTCTCATGCTTAACGGTTAAGATCTGCGTATGCCAGTCATGAAGCTGCTTTAGGAAATGTGGGACGTCTTTTCCGATAAGTGACGTGGGGATCGTCTTTTTAGCAACATTGTTCGTTTTACTAAGCTCATAGTGTTCTTCCAAATGAGCCACAAGGGCTGAGACGGTTTGGCTTGCGTACAGTAAATTCTCAGCCTTCTGCATGGCCGGTACCTTCGGCTGAAATGCAAGACAATCTTTAAAAAATTCCTCCTGGTGGTTATAATAATAGTACGCAGTGAGCCAGAGGACTCGATTGAACTTGGGAAACCTGTAGCGCAGAGGCACGCCGGTGGCCTTTTCAATCGAGTAGATCTTGAGGTGCATAGGGATGTCTCGCAAGGTGAGATAGTTACCGCCAATAATGACGGAATCCTGCGGAGTATGCACCGAATGGATCCAGCCACTGGGGATGATAAATAGGTCGCCTTCCCGAAGGTTCACCTTGAACCCGCCAGTGGGGCTGAGTTTTTTTCCTCGTAGCCTTTTAGAATAAGTTCCGAACCAGGTGAAATTTTGCTGGGGCTCTTTGCACCAGCTGGTGTATAGTTCGAGATTTTCATCCGTGGGTGGGTACATCAAAAATGTCTTGCTTCCGTGACAGACCGTATAGTAAACTGGCGTGCCACTGAAGTCAATGTGGAAATCCGTATATGACCCGGCGATCGACATGAGACAATACGTGGTGACCTTGGGTCTTTCCTCATCCGTGCCATTTTGCAGCCATACCTTATCAACGAGATCCAAGTCTCGAACCATTTTTGGCCGCACAAATGCATCGCCAAGACCCTCCACATCAGACACCTCGAGCGAGATCACGTTACGGATTCTGTCTTTTTCACGCATGTAGAAGTACCGTTTCCACTGGCCCAAGTTCCATCCAGGCGACTCACTCTGCTGGGAAAGCACATCCATGACCTCAACAGGCTCGCCTTCGCCTACTTTCTCGGCAATCCACTCGACAGTCACGTCTTTCCGATTACATGGAAGCGTCATACCTGCCTCTTTGCCTACCAGAGGCACCAAGACCGGTTTCGGCAAGCCTGTGCCCAACACGTACTCCTTCGTGAGCTCGTCGCTGTCCAAAATGTCAACGTGGAATTGTTTTTTATTTCGACTAGCCTCAGGCGTGAAGTCCATGAAGCTGGGTACGTGAGGATGTATGCTCTTGTCCACAGCGAATGTTTCGCCTTGATCTAGAGCCACATAGTCAATCTTCACCCTGGCGCGTTTTGACACTCTTCGTAGTTGTGATGGTCCATGCTTCTTGGCACATTTGGCACAGTGGTAGGAAGCGATCTCGGCTATATCCTCTTCCGAGGTGCCTATACATATTGTGTGGAACCACAGACGACAAATGTCACACTGGATCCACTTGATGTCCTCGAGATCCGATGGCGGAGTATCGGGACAATTGGGACACAGGTCCGTTGAACTAGGCATATCTGGGGTAGTAGTTGTTAGTAGATAACTTCGCACGATAGCTGCCGGACTATCCATGGTTGCAAACGGTGGGGGATAGATCGGGTAGATATCCATTTACGGTGGGGAGGTAAGATGGAGCCAAGAGATAGCAGTTTTCTAAGATAATTGGCTCAAGAAAAGTGCTGTAGATGTTGATGGCGAAGAATTGAAGTACTGCCTTGAATGCCATAGGTATACTGGGAAGTCCGGATCTCCGCTTCTCCGATCACAAAAAACCAAAATTGGGAACCACCCACATCTCCAGAAATGTTACATTTCTTTAGTTCATCACAAAAAATACGAAATCAAGTTCCATCTCTGAAAAACCCACTCCCATTATGATGCTGCGGGTCTGCGATGCAACGTCAAATTCCCCGGATCCTGTGCAACACTATTAGTCACGGCCTCTTTTTCCAGATCCACCTGAAACCACCCATAGAAACAGAAACTTCATCACATCATCCCATCCTAAATTCATCTGAACACCCCTGAATTCCCAGCACCCCAGCATCATCCAAATCCCCCTCTTGAGCTTATCTTGCTTTCGCACAAGAGCCTTACCATCCATGTTTCGCCCAATTAGACGCCTTCCATTGGCTATAGGCCCGAGAATCAGAGGCATAAGATTGAATTCGTCGGACTCTCGACAACAGTTTCTCCAGGAATACAAGGTCCGTTCGTCCTTGGAAAGACTCATACACCACTACGCCAGTGAGCCGTTGACCAAGCTCTCCATTCTGACTATTTTGGAACAGTCGGAGAAACTCAATTCAACCTACATTCTCCAAAGCGCAAGGGAAACCATAGAACAGCTCCTTGCTTATAATGCTCGGCGTTTGCGTCAGTTCAGAGATCTTCCCTACTTGGTGATGCTCAATCCCTCCATTTCAGACTCATACAACAATTACCTCCAGACCATGTCTGTGTTGCTCACAGCATCGCTTCATCCTCCTTGCACGATGGAAGAGACTAGGCGTCTCAGGGAAGACGTGCTTCAAAGCTTCATGGATGTTCATGCTGATGCTTTGCCGGTGCTATCCAAAGGCTTCGGCGAAGTTTTGCACTTGCTTTCGGTAGACAAGGTCAAGAACTTCCTTGACGAGCATTTAAGGGAACGTGTCAGCATGCGGCTCATTGCCCACCAGCAGATCTCATTGACAGACTCACTCATCGACGGAACATACAAAGAAGGCAGTCCTTACAACGGTATTGTCAAGCCGCTTGATATAAGGGAGGTCATTAAACGAAACGCAGAGCTCGTGAACGATATATGTCTCATAAAGTACGACCAGAGCGTCAAAGTCAAGATTGACACGAATCTCCATCCGCCTAACTTCTGGACTCTGAAGGACGAACCCGCAATTTCGAACCCAGGAGAACCATTGATGTTTCCCTACATCGAGTACCACCTAGACTACATCTTGATGGAGCTTTTCAAGAACTCATTCAGGGCCCACATCGAAAACGGCGTCTCGGATCCTGTCCAGGTGACAGTGTCCACCAGTGAAAATCCGTCGTTTCTCGAGATGAGAATCAGAGACAAGGGCAAGGGTATCCCGCCTCAAGCGCTCAACCACGTTTTTGACTACTCATTCCTGACGTACGAGTCTGGTGAAGGCGAGAGCTACAAAACGCTCAATGTGCCGCCTGGAGAAGCCGGTAACACCGTTGCAGGAATGGGCTACGGCTTGCCGCTTCTGAAGAACTACGTTGAGATCTTCAACGACACGATCGACCTAGAAGAGCCAGCTAAGGGTCTGCTCTCGGTGCAGTCGTACTACGGCTGGGGTACAGACGTCTATCTCAAGACAGTGGGCTCATAAGTATATAGAATGGCTGCAAAAGGGTGCCTGGCGGTGTGCGATGAGCAAAATCAGACAGAAGGTTGGTAATTGTCCTCGGTCTTGGCGTTTCGTGAAAACGGCCCTTCTGAGAACATTGGCATATGGAAAAGCACAACCACCATGCCGATCCAGGACCATTGGTGTACCACAGTGCGATCTCGGTTTGCACCCATCGGCGATATCTGGTGATGTCCAACTCCCCCAGTCACGCATTCTGCCAGGTTCCACTATTATTTTGTGGCATCATTTTTACTCAGATCCGCAATTGCTTCCTCCCCTCACCCGTCACCTTCTGACCCCTTCGCCTTTCTTGCACCTACCTTTTTGGTCCATCGGTACCTGACCTGCCTAAATCGCACCAGCCGCACCTCGACTATTGCTCAGACTTTCAATGTTTCAAACGTCTTCCCGGGGCCCTAATCCAATGACTCCGTCGTTTGATGCTTTTTGTTCACAGATCGCGGTGCCGCCTCTAGAAACGGTCCGATCGCTGTGCCGCCATTTGCTCATCAACAGCGACCCCACAGAATGCAACCAGTCCCTTTCCATGTATCTCAAAACAGCTGTGGACCACTTGGTGACGGAACTGGAAATCTACCACGTATGCCTGGTGCTTGCGCTCGACTTGCTCCGGCTGAACTTGTTCACCAAGAACTTCGGCTTGTGTTTGGGCAAGATCCTTAGTTTGCTCAAGGTGCTCAGTGATGCTGAAACTGATGCTGAGGTGGAGAGCTTCAAGACGTTGCTTCTGGTGACTTTGCTTCTTACGCTCAAAGCGAAGGACGATCCAGCCATGGGTGCCATCTTCTCCGATCACATCTCCGACAAGGAGTTTGTTAACACCATGAGATCCTTAGGTATAGTGCAAGTGGTGGGCAACATCATCCACAAACACATTGTCTCACTGCCCTCCTCCCACGCCGCTTATGTGCTACTCAAGTTTAATTGTGACAGCATCTTTCAGTACCTTTACAAGGTGGTGCTTCTCACCGATTCCGAGTTTGACTCATTGACCCTCAGTCCGTTGATCCCCACACTCATTGCTGATCTCACCTCCAACGACAACTTCAATGAGTACGACGTCACGTACGACGATTTTGAAGATGAGGATAAGCTTGTGGCTTACGAGGAGTTTAAGCTTCTTCTTTTGATCAATGAGCAGTACCTCATGAAGAGCATTTCGTGCACTCAGCTGAAAAATAAGGTTTTTGACGGCTTGCTGGTCAACCGCCAAGGAACTAACATTCTATGTGGCTTCACTAACTTGCTAGTGTACCACCTCAACAGGGAAGAGTCCAGTATCATCAAGATCTTGATGCTCAAGTTCCTCTACCTTGTTTTCACAACGTCATACACGGCTAAGATCCCCTACCTCAATGACGTCAAGATCCTTCTAGACATCATACTTCGTGAGCTTAATGATCTTGACTATCTGCCCGAGGAGCCAAAGGAGAACTGTATTCTCGCCCTCACATACTTGAAGGTATTGAATCCTTTGCTCGTCTTCTCTCAATTGGCCGAGTTGTCTCCTCCTTACAAACCCAATGAAATCATTGAGACCCTAAGAAACATTGTCATCAACTGCGACTCGTCCGCCTTTGATGCACAAGACCCCTACCTGAACACCAAAGATTTAGCAGCCATCGTCAAGTCTGCTACGAAATGCTTGAACATTCCATGGGTCAAGAAGTGTGCTGTGGGTACCAAAGTCAATCTGCTGTTGGTATCTAGCAGAAACACTAGCTCTGACAGTCTTAGCTCGGTTGCTTCTACAGTCTCGAAAATCGGCAATCTCAAGTTGGCATCAGATCATAGTGCCTCTACAGATTCCCTTTCATTCACTCGTGTGGCCTCCGTCAGGGCCTCCAATAGAGATGACTATAATTTGCATACGAAGTCACACAACGATAATCTTGCTGACTCGCCACTGGATTCTGGTTCCATGTTCTCCTCTAATAATGGAAATGTCTTTCTACAAAAAAGCGCCAACGAGGATCCATTCGCTACATTCGCTGCAGCTCACGCTGAGCAATTGCTAGATCTTCCAAAAGAATATTTAGGAGGAAAGCATCTCCCTCCACTCCCCAGGGAGAAGTCGACAGAGAAACTTAACGCAAGGCAACAGAAGGCGAGGTTAAAGAAAGCACCACCGCCACCTCCACCTCCACCAAGAAGAAAAAGATAAATTCGAATTTGACTTTTTATTATACAATATTAAATTCTGTCAGTTTCCTCCTTGAAACTTAATACATCATCAAACCGTAAGCCGTTGATCTCAGTCCTGCTGTAGATATCCAATTCCTTCGTCAGGTAATCAGGGTTAGCTGCTGGGTCCATAATATCATTAGAGGCGACCAACACCAACCCTCTAGATCTAATCAATGGTATGAGTTTTGGTACTAGATCGAGAAGATGAATCGAGGTAATGACACCGATAAGGTTGTTCTCAATAGTGAAGTTGACAGCGTCCTTGATAGATCTGACAGTGAGTTCTTGATCATTGGCTCGGAGTGTTGTCTCAGACGTCGTTGACTTGGCTATCGAACCAGAGTTAGTGGACTGTGCTCCCTTAGTGTCAGAGCTTTCAATGGGCAAGCCGTTAGCCGAATGTGCTTCGAAGACTCCAGTAGCATTATTGTAAACAATACCATTCATGATCAAGAATACTGGGAAGTTAGGCTGCTTCCAGTTCAAAATCTTGCAAACAATCGAGTTCGAAGACAAAAAGATCAATGACCTGCTTGTCTCATTCTTCGTGTTCACCTTCACAGCTCTTATGTGGTCAAAAACGCTGTTCAAGGTGAGATCGATGAAAGTATTGAGGTTCAGCTGAATGTTACCTGCAAAAGGGATCTTGTCCAACTCGTAAAGCGAAGGGAACACAAGCTCTATGCTGCATCTGATCTCAATGTTCAAGACGTTCAAAAATGTATCAAGCGGAAGATAAATGATTCTCAAAAGCTTTTTGATAAGCGCAATGTCCTTTACAGTCATTTTTGAAAGGTCATTCATGATCTTATCGTAGTCAAAAAGACTGGATGATATCGTTGTCAATTGGTCTGGAGTCAAGTTGGGCAAGAGAAGCTCAACGTTTTCTGCAACGGCGATAGACCAATGAGGGCATACAAATGGAGATCCATCGTTAAGAAGACAGACCTTGATTCGTAAGTAGTCACCAGAGAGGGATGTGGCGGTGACGAAAGATGAATTTGATTTTGCGCCTGGAGCCGTCGCCAGGGTGACTTGGTTTCCAACACCATTTCCGTTCTTCGCATCACCATGAGCGTTGTTTATGTTCGATGGTGATAAGAAGTTATTAGGCGACAAGCCTTGGCCGTTAAGCTTGTTGGCAGGTTTGTTCTTAACAAAATTAGTGGAAGACTTCCAGTAGGTGTCGTATTTGGTTGTCTCAAGCAAGGTTCCCGAGAATGGGAAGATGACTTGATAGTTGAACTTGAGCTCACCGATATTTCTCAACCTCAAATCGAAAAGAGGGAGCACGATTGCATTAAACTCAAGAGATGATGTATCGAGCTGCTTCAAGTTCAAAGCCGTCGTCTTTGCAATAAGACGAGTTCCAAACTTTGGGAAGATTTCAAAGTCGATTCTGAACTCATTCAAAGAGTCGACTTCTGTCTGGAAAATACAGCTTGTTGTCTCTTTGTCGCCCCCATTGGTTGGGAGAAGAATGTTCCTGGGAACGATATCTGAGATGTTGGATGTGATGGTAATTCTACCTGGCTGAAGCCCTGTTGCGGAGTTGAAAAGGTTGATAGAGCCCTTTTCGTTGGAGAAAACTAGCTCGATCAAAACCTTCTGTTCCAAAAAGTTATGACCATACCTTCTGAGGGGAAGAATAGGAGGCGGAAGCTCGAGGTGGGGGATCAGGTCAACATTCTTTTCAATATCACCACTGTCCTCAGAGTCCTCTTCAACATCAAGTATTGTGACAGAGCCATCTTTATGTTGCCCTGGGATTGAGCTTTCAGGAATAGAGTCCATGTTAACATCGACTGGCGATCTCTTTTCCTCCTTTGCAATATCCTTCTTATACGAAAGAATATGATTGAGAACGCCAATATGACCCTCGGTCACACAGTAGTATAACACGTTGTAGCCATCCTCATCAACAATATCTAGCTTTGCTCCAAATTTAATCAATTCCTGCGTTGTATTGACATGGCCCTCAGCAGCAGCATAAAATAAGGGTGGCCACTTGTTCAAGCCATCAAGCTGGTTCACCTTGGCTCCGAATTCGGTCAAGAGTTTGATTAAAGGATAGTTGCCTGAACGAGCAATAACATGAAGTGGGAAAAGACCTTCCACATCTTGCTGGTTGATCAGCTCTGGGCTGGTGTCCGCGTAACGCAAGAGGTATTCGACCGTTTGATAGTCACCAAACTTACAAGCGTAGTTGACAGGGAGATATTGAAGCTTGGACTCATTTGTGACCGGATACCTGTTACTGCCATGTTGCACCAATATCTTGATAACGTCAAAGTTATTGTGCTTTATAGCGAGAAGCAAAGCTGACATGGATTCATTGTCAAGATCGTCGAGGTGGTTCTTGGGGAAGTGTGGCAAAAGGAGGGTCAAAAGCTCAAGGCAGTTATTTTGAGATGCATAATGCAAACAAGTTCTACCATTCATGTCTTTGCGTATCAAGAGCCGACTCAAGGCCTCTGGGGAAAGATTTTGAATGATGTACTCAATGATGAAAACTCTCGAATGTTCAACGTTATCAACAGATGTCACCACTTTGACACCGTTGTTGATGCTGACGTGCTGGTGCTCTTCATGACCCGACAGTGGCTGAATAGAAACACATTCGTGTAATAGGGACTTGTTGTTGTTGAAGTCCTCTGAACTCAACTCGAAGTCAACGTCGTAGTCAATGAGGTCAAGGAACGTCTTGAGAAATCCATCGGAGATATTGAGGTTGCCAATTGCAAGAAGGAAGATTTTTGAAAACTTGTATTTTGACGCGGCATCACCTTGAGCACCTTTAGGCGAGGACCTCACTTTTTCGATCCATCTCTTCAATACTGGTACGTCAGTGTCTTTGAGTGTAGCGACGTTCACAAAACTCGAGTACAAATCGTCAATTTCGGAGGTGTGGAAGCCAGTAAACGAGTTGTGGCGTGAACTAGGAAAAGCTGTGCCGTACGAAGGTTTATCCAGACCCATTTCTTGCTGCTCAATACCAGTGATCGAGCCGTGTCTGGCAATGGCCTCAGAGTAGTTGGAAGGAGCCAGAGCCAGTCTGGTACTCCTGTAGTTCTCCAAGACAGAGTAGTCGCCGTCCATAATAGACTCCAAATCGAAGAGGGACTGGATAACAAGATCAGAGAGCTCGTTGATCTCATTCTTGTGGAAAACCGGCTGCACGCTGACCGCCGTCTGCAAAAAAAGCTCTTTAGTATGGGACTTGGACCGCTTGTCCCACTTTTTCACAACTTTCAGGAAACCCTGCTCGTTCAATTCGATGAACTGCTGCAACCGGAGCAAGTCCTGGTGGATCTTCTTGAAGTTCTGGTACAAATTGAGGAACAAGATGGAGTTCTTGAAGTTGAGCGTGGAGTTACTGGATGACGGGTCCAGAGCCATCTCCAGCGACTTGGTGAAAAGCTCCTCCTTCTTCATTATCACAAGGTCCAAATTGATCGCCATGTTCGCCTGCTTCTCCAAGTAAAACAGATTCACCTTGTCCAATTCTCTCTCCACACGGAAAAAGAAACTTGCCTTGTTGTCCTTGAGCTTCTGCTGGATCTTGAACTGGCTGTTCGGCTCCGTGCTAGCCAAGTCGATGCCTCCACCCAACTGCTTGATCAACTTCTTCAACGCCTTGTAATCGATGAAGTAGCCCAGGTACTCGGGTAGCTCGAGCTGGCGTGACGCGAGGTACTTTCCGAACTTCATGGCTGGAGAAAATTGTGGAAAAGGCGGTAGGCGTTTATTTATTCAAGATGTCTGCTCAACCACGTGGACCAGAGGCTGCGAAACGCTTTAGCGTATTGTGGAGGTGACCCACTGTGCGACTGGATGCTACTGGGTTGAAAAAAGCCGGGGTGGCATTTTGGGAATTTTGGTAGTAGAGGTTCTGTGGATTTGAAGGAGGGTGATTTTTGAAGACGTTTTTTGATATGTGATTCTTGAATTGATGCCGAATTGCCGTAACGAAATCACAAGTCCTCATTGGTTTCGGCTGTTGGCTGCGAATATAAGATGTGGTGCTTTGTGTGATGAATGTAAACTAGTCAAGAAGGCCGATTCATTGATATTTGGGAATTGAGGGCGATGTGTTTCGTGATGTGGTACTACGCGTCCTGGGTTGCCCTAAACCCCTACTATTTCCAGATTCCGATGATAATATGTTACTATATAACTGTTAGTGTACTGACGACACATTCACGTCAAAATGGTTTCTTTTATAAATCATTGTGAACTTTGCAACCGTTGGAAGATATCGAAGTTTGCAACCGTTGGAAGATATCGAAAAGTATGCTCATGCCGTTTCAAGAATGGTCTGAGCCTTTGCCTGCGCATCTCATGAAACCCATAACACAACAGCCTACGAAACCCTACAACTGTTTTTCCGTAGCGTGAATTCTATGCATATCTTTTCAGCTTCCCCATTAGGCCGCCTATTTGGCCTCCTCCTTGGCCTTGTCGAAATGCTCCTTGAAGTTGTCAGCATTCTCCTTGTTGCCGAATCTAATGGCCAAGGTCTGGGCCTCTGGCTCACCCTCAGACACATCAGCAGCAACAGTGTACACCCAGGATCTGTCGGAACCAATGTTGGCCTTCAATTCGTAGTCTGGCTGGATCAAGTGGTTGGCACAAATCTTCAATGTCTTGTCTCTTCTCATGACAATTCTGGTCTTGCCGCTGGTCTTGTGCTTCAAGAACTTCACGTCACCTGTACCTCTCTCCTTCCACTCCTTGGAGTCACCGTGGAATCTGAACAACTTAGCACGGACCTTGTAGACGACGTCCTCGTTCTCCTCGTTGGTCTTGACATCAACCTTCTCCAAGTGAACCAATGGCTCGAAGTGGACGTCAGCCTCCTCCTCATCGGCGGCATCGTCGTCGTCCTTCTTTTCGGACTTCTCCTCCTTCTTCTCTTCCTTCTTGTCTTCCTCCTTCAGCTCTTCCTTGTCATCCTCTTTCTTCTCCTTCTTGGCACCGAACATGGAGAAGACGTTGGAAGTAGGCACGCCAGAGGATGCAGAGGTCTCTTCAACCTTTGGTTTGGTTTCTTCGGCAGACATTATTGTATGTACCTAAACAGAGTGTTTGTGGATATGATCTATGGAAACTTTTTCCTTCACCTTCCATGTCGCGCGCACGACATACACCATCCACATTTCTACGCTGATGCCGTTTACTTCTCAATTTGATATATTCCTTTGTAAAAGTTAGTGGTGGAATTATTTTCCCTTGGTAAGTGTAATGTGAATTTTAATGATCAATCTTCCATGTCGGCCGGTTTGATCAATCCGGCAACCTTGAGATCCTTCTCTCTCTTGATTCTATTCTGTTCTTGCTTCTCAAGCTCCTTGTCTTCAGCGTAAAGGTAGTCGGTGGCATCTCCGCCAAACTCCTTGATTTGCACGAGGAAGTCTCTCAATGTGCCCTTGAATTTTTCGAGATCCTTGTACACGCCAGTCAACACGTTCAAGAAGTTGACGAGCTGCTCTCTCTGCAAATTCTCAAATGCCGATGACAAAGAGTTGCCCAAGTACTCCTTGAGGTATTGTGAGTTGGTTGTGCCCTCAGCAGCTTGTCCTGGAGGGTACAATGGGTCCTTGATGACGCCATCCTCGACGAGATGGAGAAGCTGGGCAAGAAGCTGTGCCTGGTAATTGAAACCAGATTTGTGGTCTGGTTGCGTCAACACATAGAATGTATCCGAAAGAATTTGGAAGTAGAAGTTCTCGTAGAAGACCTTGGTGAATGGCGTGCTACCGAGCTTTTCGACGTTCTCGATCAACTCTATCGTCAACGACAAACCATTCTCCTCGACTTCTCTGTTATTATGTCTCAAAGCCCAGAGGGATGCATTGATTAGCAATTGGAAGGCCTCGCCCGAAAGCTGCAACAAAGCTTCGAAGCATTTAGAATTGATCTCCTTCAACAATTTATAGTACTCGACTCTGTGCTCAGGGTACTCGACAAAATCATTCTTGATCATATCAAGTGTGCATTCGAACACATTTTGAAGTATGAGGAAAACACCAGATGGAATCATGTGGCCCACCTTCGAGACTAATGCAGTCATACAGTTCAATACCTCAGCATCACGAGCATCAGGGACATTGCTCTTGTAGTCTCCCAACACGGCTGAAAACAATGGCTGAGAGAGATCGCGAACAATTTCATCCAAGTTGTCCGCCTGATTAATGTAGGTCTCGATCATCTTCAAGATTTCCTTCTTGATGGTTCTCAAGCCTCTCACTTTCGGAGTTTTGGTAGCAATGACGCCCTCAGATGCAACTAGGTTTGAGATCATCTCACTGACAGCCTTGTACAAAGACAACATGTCAACGTACATCAAGCCAAGCTGGGAGTAGAAACCAGGTCCCATGGCTTTACAGACAGCAACATTTGTCTTGATGATGTTAGCAATGATCTTCACATTCTCGCTGTCGACCAACAAAGTAGAGTCTTGTGCAGCTCTCTCGACGATAGCCTTCCAAGCGACATTTGGTAGAGCCATTAAGTCACTCAAAAGCTTATCACGAGAATCTTTTTGGGTCTGTGCACTGACGATGATACCACAGGCTTCGTAGAATGTGTGGACCTGTTGAGGCAGCAAGTCCTCAGTGATAGATTGAATATTGCGGATGATCTCAACGATAAATGGCTCTGTCTCAGCTGGTTGCGTAACAACAAAATGTCTCTTACACTTTGTCGTTATCTTAATAAATGTATCACATGCCATATCTTGCACACCCTCATGGGACTCGTGCATAAACTCGAACAATTTGTTGACGACAGTCTTCAAAAACTTCCAGTGAGCTTTCAAGAACCTGGGGTATTGGCCAACAATGTACATGATGTTCGAGGCCACGACAGCCTTGTTATCTTTACCTCTTTTCAAATCAGTTAAGGACAACAAGTCCTTGATAACACCAACAAGGAAACGCTTTTCCATATCTTCATTCATCGTACCAGAGATGGAACCGATGGCCCAACACAAGGTATTAATGTTTTGCCACGACCACTCGCTTTCGTCGATTTGACGGGCAAGTTTCTCCTCCATAATATTTTGGGTGTCCACAACATCTGAATGCGTCAAGTACACGAGAACTTCTCTCATAGATTTGTACAACTGGATGGTGTCACTCTCCTTAACGAACTCTCTAACAATTTCACCTTCATCGTTCTCAACGATCAACACTTCCTCGGGCCTGACCATATTCTCGATCACCACCAATCTCAACTTGGAGAGGATGCTAGCGTAATTATGCTGTCTCAATGGGAATCTAGCCAACACAGCTGGGTCTGGAGCACCATTTGAAGATGGACGTAATGAAGAGCCGTAGGAAAGCTGCATCAATGGACTCAACTCATTAGCAGGCAAGTTCTGGATCTCTTCGAACAAACCTTGGACGAAGCCAGTCCAGAAGTCCAAACACGTTTTGAAAAGTTCACGTTCCTCAATTCTAGAGAGTTCAATGAGGTACTCCAATGAAATAAGGAGCAACTCTTTCAAGCCGTCAGCCAGTTCTAGGGCCAGGAGATGGTTATGCAAGAAAGTGCACAAGAACATGGCCAAGTCTTGCAAGAATGACTGGTCATCTGAGTTTGCCACCTGATAGGACTTTTTGAGTGTGGTACCGGAGTTCAAAGGCACAATCGTGACAATCTTCTCCATGGCGTTCTGGAAAAAGCCCACAAACTTTTCCTCGTTACCTGGAGACACCAAGCTCGAAACTTCAGTCAAACACTTAAGAGTGATAGCCCTCGTATCAGCTGGGGCCAAGAACTTGTTGGTCAACAAATGCAAAAGGTCTGTCTCGAAGATGTAATTCAATGGAATCCAATGGATGTATCTCAAGAGGGCATTAAGGGTTGCCACAATCAAAGAGACCTTGTTGGTCTTGTCTAAAATCTCATAACACAATTTGAAGATTTGCTCAAACTCAGCTTTCAAACTCAACTTCAAGTTGTTGGCCTTAGCTTGGGTCATAGACTCCTGAGAGAAGTCGAAAACTTCTTCACTCATCAACTTCAAGATGATCATGTTGTTCTCACAAACGTTGAAGGATGAACGGGAGCTCATGACAATCTCAGGGATGAACTGTGGCCAGTTGTGTGGCCATTCCTGCTTCAAGACAGACACCAATGTCAAGTCAATTTTGTTGATGAGAGCTCTCTCGGTCTTGAAGATCTGCTCGTCATCACACAAGGCGATAATCATATCGACAATGAAGTTCCTGATGCCAACACGCTCGGTCTCAGGAATAGTTTTCCATCTGTACTGGATTAACTTGTTCAAACAGGACAAAGCAATGTATTTGGACTGAGCATTTTTTGACAGCGAAAGAATGGCATCGGCTCGTTTCCAAGAGTCAGGGTTCTCCTGAAACTGGTTGAGCACGAGTTGTGCTTGTCGTTGGTCTGGGCCAGACTTGTAGAATGTTTCTACGACTTTATCGAACAAGTCGAGGTCAAGATCCTTGGAGAAGTCTAGGATCCCCTCCATACTGTAAAACTTTTTTTGTATTCCGTAATTTGCCACAAGCTGTTGTTAGTATATTGTTTCATCAATCGCTTAGAAACCATAACATGACAGTTCTATTGGTTGGAGGCGAATTCCGGGTTGGGTGACACTCGGAATTGCGCTAGATTTAAAAAACTAATTGAGAATTAATTAAACATACTTTTTATGGCGCAATGGTGCAAGGGATTGGGGATATACTCCTAAAGTATGGTCTTCGGATATGGAAACAAGATAGAAAACGATTTGAGAAGTCGTGCTCAGCACAAAAGTATGAAGGGGACACCAGATAGCCCGCAGGTGTATATGCAGGCGATACTAGTAACATATAGAGACACGCTTACAGTGTGGTTAGGCCAAAATGTATTTTATGTAATTTTGATGAGTTTACTTGGTGGCGAAAGCAACACCCTTCTCGATGTTCTTGGACAACTGGTCAATGGCAACTTCCAACAACTTCTTCTCCTCGTCGCTGGCCTTCTCCAAGACGTCGTACTGAACAGCGGCAATACCGTCCTTGCTCAACTTGACTGGGAGAGAGAAGAAGTCCAAGTTGTTAACCAACTTCTTGGCCTCAGCGGCACCCTTGATGGAGGAGTCCAAGTAGAGGAAGGTGCACTCGGTGACATCCTCACCAGCAGCAGCCTTCAAGAGAGACTCGGCCAAACGGTAACCAGCGAAAGCCATGGACAAGGTGGCGGAGCCAGCACCATCCTTGGCCTTGACGACCTCGTCACCGCCGAACTGGACACGGTGGATCAATTCCTTCTTCTGCTCAGCAGACAACTTGTCGTAGTGAGACTTAGCACCCTGGGAGTACAATGGCACAATGGTCTCACCGGAGTGACCACCGACGACTCTGATCTCAAAGTCAGTTGGCTTGGTCTCGGATGGGTAGAGCTGCGAGATGAAGGTGTTAGCACGGACAATGTCCAAGGTGGTGACACCGAACAAACGAGCTGGGTCGAAAACACCCTTGGCCTTCAAGGTCTCGGCGACAATTGGCACGGTGGAGTTGACTGGGTTGGAGATGATCAACACGAAAGCCTTAGGGGCGTTCTCAGCGATACCCTCGGCCAAGCCCTTGACAATGGAGGCGTTGATGTTGAACAAGTCGTCTCTGGTCATACCAGGCTTTCTTGGGACACCGGCTGGGATGATGACAAGGTCAGAACCCTTGAGGGACTCAGCAAGAGCGGTCTTGTCCTCCTTGGAAGAAGGCAAGAAAGCCTTGGTGGAGGCGTCGGTGTTAATGTGAGACAAGTCAGCACCAACACCAGGGACATTGACAACGTCGAAGAGAGACAATTCAGTGACCTGAGGGTTGAGCTTCAAAAGGAGGGACAAAGGCTGACCGATACCGCCGGCAGCACCGCAAACTGTGACTTTAACCATGATTTAAATAAGTGATTCGTGGGGAATTGAGCAAGAGAAAAAAAACCCTGGGGTCCGGGGTGCCTTATATAGGAGCGAGAAAACTGGGGAACCCGCGCCAGGTGCACATGGGAGGCTCCGGGCACCCGGACCGAGGAAAACCTGGATCCCGGGTTCTGCCGGGCTGGACCCAGTCGGATAATTTAGCACGATCCAGCTGTCAAAGTCAGGGATTGAAGGCACAGAGAGAGGGAGGTGATAGACGAAAGAACTTGTCAGCAATTGGCGTCTTTTGATTGGCTGGTTCAGTGTGGGGTGAGTCGGCGAGGGTGTCGCAGCCAATTGAGTGGGAGATGCTGAAGAATTGACTTTTTTGATCTGTGAAATATAACGGTTTTGACTGGCAGTGGGGCAGGTTGGGTTGCTCAATTCTGCCCGGTTTACAGTGGCTGCGAAAGGTCTAACCCCGGGGTGCGACTGTGGTGTCGTGAAGAATTGGTTGGATTGGTGTTGTGATTTGAATTTGTTGGATGATTTGGATGAGGAGCTGATGTTGATTGAATCTGTGAGTTGTTTGATGTGAAGATTGCCCAATTGGTGTTGGATGGTAGGGCTTGTACCACCCTGGGGTAGCTACTGCGAGTACAGGATACCGGGCGGTGTAGCAGACATGATCCTGAGTTGTCCGGGCACAAACGGGCCCGAACGGAGAGAGATCCAGAATCTTGCAGTTGTTGGACCTGCTCAATCTTTGTGAATAATTTTCTCGTCGATTGTTGGTGAATTTGGTTATGAATCTTGGGATACTGGAGTATGGCTGCAAGTTGGCTGCGAACCTAACGCCGGGAGGTGTCAAAACGGGGTTCGAAATCGCCGACCGGCGATAGCTTCAGGCGTGATTTTGATCAGGTTTGTGAATTTGGGGTAATCTTGCAGAAGTCAATAAACTAGAATTTCGGGTGGGGTTACGCAATTGAAGCAGGCCATTGAAGTGTTCATTTTGAAACTATGGCGAAAATAAAGCAGGCGAACGCTCCAAAATAGCGGTACCTAATTCACCTCTTTCAATAACCCAGAGACCTTTAATTGAGCCTGAAGCTCTGTATGGGAGCTTCGGCAGAAACACCTAAAAAGAGAATAGTAGTCGCCATACTTTCTACTCCATTGGCCAACATTTTGCATTATCGAACACACTCACCAACAAGCAGAACACAATTATCCAATTCCTTCACAAAGACTTCACCCTTCACCGCCTTCACACCTAAATTAGCCAGCCAAGATCCAAACCACTACTTCGCATCGGCGTTCGTCCTTGCAGCCTCACCCCAAGCACTCTCTCATTCTGCACAACACTCGTATTTCGTAACAACGCAGCCCAAGCCAAACCACACAAAGAACCCCCCAAATGGCCCCCACGCCCCAGCTCAACCCATTTTCCTTGGTTATCCAATCACCGTCGATTTCACAATCCACCAGCCACGTCCAATGGGTGTGAGGCTCGGAAAAACTACCTGGTCCGGCTCCGCTCCGCCAAGCGGAAGAACCCCACCCCCACGCCGCGTAAAGGTGAATTCAACAATTAGACAAAGAAAAGGCTAAAAAGAAAACACGATGCCGTACCCGGGCTTCAGAGCCCGTCACGCTGGGGGAGCCATACCCTTCACAGCTGGACTTTAGGATATTTAGGAAGAAAAGAAGAAAATGCTGTCTTCAAGAAAAACCTTTCTTTCTTCCATCAGAAGATGGAAACGCCCCGCAAGGCTTGCGGCGTTCGTATGGTCGCCAAGCAGTCTTTGAGACATTGCGAAAGCCGCAAACACTACGAGCTCAGGGTACCAAAGACGTGGCAAAAACACGGACACAAGGGAAAAAATACACTTTTTTGCAATAATCCAAAACTTTAACAATTTTTTAAATAACTAAAACCACCGGCTTGCTTTCCCGCTCATTGCTGACCCAAATGCCGTTTCCTGCCCGGTGCATTCATGTCTGTTTTTTCTGGGGCTGACTATCGCTACTTGCAGGCATCTGCGCACGCTACCCCATATAAATCAGTACGAGATCTCATCGTCTAAAAAACACCCCATGAACAACCCTTTTAGAAGATCGTCCCAGCTGAGCGACGACGACCCCTTCGACGTCCCGGAGAACTACTACGGTGCCGACACCGACCCCGCCCAAGCGCCCAAGAACTCCCGTTTTGGCCGGGTCAGGACCTTCTCTGTGTTTGAAGCGAAGACCAACCGCTTGAACATGTTGCTGCCTAATGCTTCCCAGTCTTCCACTGAAGACGGCTTGGAGGACCAGAATTCTCTGGAATCCTCTCCGACGCCTCCCCCGCCCCTGGTGGACTCGCTCAGAAGAGGCCTGATTGTGCCTATCTACCACGATACCACCAGTACGGACTCCTTGGGTGGCACTACCAAACCCGTGGAGACTAGAGCTCCGCTTACTCAGCGTAGAGCATCGCTTGACTCCTCCATCATGGCGCCAAAGAAGTTCTACATCAACGATATCGACTTGACCCTTCGGGAGCTCTTGCAGAACGAGGACACAGACCACAACTTCCAGATCACGATCGAGGACCTGGGGCCCAAGGTGTTGAACCTCGGAACGGTCAACTCCAATGGCTACAACCAGTTCGCCGTGAGAGGCACCTACCAGCTCTCCAACTTGCTTCAGGAGCTCACCATCGCCAAGCGGTTTGGCCGGAACCAGATGATCTTGGACGAGCAGCGTCTTTGCGAGAACCCCGTTCGCCGCATGAAACGTCTTGTTCTGACCCAGTTCTGGAGAGCTCTCACCAGAAAGATCACCAAGGAGAATATCGTGGATATGGCCCGAGACACCAAGATCGTGGAGGAGTACACCAACGAGAAGGGCGAGCTTGTGAGAAACGCAGAGTCCGTGAGGTTGTATGTGCCCCACGACAGGCCTGACCAGTACAAGTACTTCAGCTCAATCAAGGAGGAGCACCCCGACATCACCTTGGACGTGCAATACCTCCCCAAGAAGATAGACGCCACTTACATCAAGTCGATCAACAAGAAGCCTGGCCTTTTGGCCTTGGAAGCGAAAACCGGCAAAGACGGTGAGCTACTCAACGAGCCTTACGTGGTTCCCGGTGGCAGATTCAACGAGCTTTACGGTTGGGATTCCTACATGATCGTTTTGGGTCTTCTCTTAGACGCCACTCCTGAGAACCAGACAAACTTGCAATTGTCTCGTGGTATGACCGAGAATTTCATCTACGAAATCAACTACTACAACAAGATCTTGAACGCAAACCGTTCTTACTACTTGGGCCGCTCGCAGCCACCCTTCTTGACCGACATGGCGCTTAGGGTCTTCGATAAGACGCTTGAGATCAATCCAGGAAGCAGTGAAGATGCCTTGGATTTCCTTGAGAGAGCTACTATCGCTGCAATCAAGGAATACGAAACTGTCTGGTGCTGTACACCTCGTCTCGACGAACGCACTGGTCTTTCATGCTACCACCCCGAAGGTGAAGGCATTCCTCCAGAGACCGAAGCCTCCCACTTTAATGCCATTCTTGCACCATACGTGAAGAAGTATAACGTCACACAGCCAGAGTTCATCGAGATGTACAACAACAAAAAGATCGAGGAGCCTGTCTTGGACGAGTACTTCTTACATGACCGAGCAGTTCGTGAGTCTGGCCACGACACTTCCTACCGTTTGGAAGGCAAGGCAGCTTACTTGGCGACAGTCGACTTGAACTCTTTGATCTACAAGTACGAGGTGGACATTGCACATATTATAGAAACCCACTTTGGCGGCAAGTTGCTTGATCCTCGTACGGGTGAGACCAACACTACCGCACAGTGGCAGGAGAGGGCCGCCCTTCGCCAGCAGAGAATGACTAAGTACTTGTGGAACGAGGATGATTCGATGTTCTACGACTACCACATCAAAGAGCAGCAGCAAAGCAAGTACGAGCTGGCCACTTGTTTCTGGCCGTTGTATTCTGGTGCTGCCACGGAAGCCCAAGCGGATAAACTCGTGCGTAACTCTCTCCACAAGTTCGAAGAGGACGGAGGACTTGTGTCTGGTACATTGCGTTCTCGTGGAGAGGTGAGCATCGACAGACCCTCACGTCAATGGGATTATCCATTCGGCTGGGCGCCTCAGCAAATGTTGGCTTGGATTGGATTGACAAACTATAATTACAACGGTGCTGCTCGACGTCTTGCCTACCGTTGGCTCTACATGATGACTCGGGCCTTTGTGGACTACAACGGTGTTGTTGTCGAGAAATACAATGTGCTTGAAGGAGCCGTTCCACATCGTGTTGATGCAGAGTACGGTAACCAGGGAGCTGATTTCAAAGGTGTTGCTACGGAAGGTTTCGGCTGGGTCAATGCCAGTTACCTCTTTGGTCTCACCTTCATGAACTTGCAGGCCCAGAGAAGTCTCGGTGCATTGATCCCTCCCCACGTCTTCTTCAAGAACCTCAACGAGTCCCAGAAAGAGCTCTACACATAAGGGCTTAGAAGATCTATTAGCTGGAAATTTTAGAGCTCTACACATAAACATGCTTCGCTTTGTGAAGTACATAAAGTTTATCCGCGGATGCTGTGCGGCCGACGCACAATGATATAGTTGTCGACGTATAAACAGTTTTTTTCGAAGCGCCGTAGCGTTGTCTCATTACATCATCGCGGTTATACTAGCACGACTATATCCGCAGACATCTGCCTCGTACCAGTAACAGCAAGTAAACACCCGTACACCAGCAACGTTGAATTCTAGCAGCCCATGATTTTGCAGCATCAGTAAACTAGCAGCAGCAGCAGTGGGCCCAACGTCACTCTTTCACCAGGCACCCCCCCCATATATAATAGACAGCCCATGACCTCGTTGCTCAAAAGCCTGTTTCTCAGAAACAGTTCCGTGCATTGGCACCTGCTTCAACGAGTAGCCACGAGATCCAACACCACCACCAACACCTTCAACACTGCCGTGGAGGCAGCGGAAAAGCTCGTGCAACCAACAAAAGAAAAGTCGTTTAATGACCCGTTCTCCATAGTCAGCCACGAAATGTCGTCGTTGGCCAAACTGATAGCCAGTTTGATCGGCTCGGGCCACTCGACTCTCAACAGAGTCAGCAGCTACTACTTTGAGGCGGAGGGCAAGAACGTCCGCCCGCTTGTGGTGCTTTTGCTTTCTAAAGCCTTGCTGAATATCCCTGCGGAGGAGCGCAACAGAATCAGAATTGACTCCCAGGATGTCACAGACCAACCCGTATACCCCGGAACACCCCAAGGCACCGTGCTAGCCGGAAATTCTGTAAACCAGCTGATTTCCCCCTTGGCCGTTTTGCATGGAATAAACCCGAAGGTCATCTTGGACCCTTTGCTGAAGCCCATGGACCACCTTCCCCAGATGGATGCTGCTAATGGCATTTTGCCCAAGCAGAGACGTTTGGCTGAGATCGTGGAGATGATCCACACGGCCTCTTTGCTTCATGACGACGTTATTGATCTTTCGGACGCCCGCAGAGGCCGCCCCAGCGGCAACATTGCGTTCACAAACAAAATGGCTGTTTTGGCAGGCGACTTCCTTTTGGGCCGAGCCTCGGTCGCCATTGCTCGTTTGCGTAATCCAGAGGTGATTGAGTTGTTGTCAACGACAATTGCCAATTTGGTGGAGGGCGAGTTCATGCAGTTGAAAAACACTGTTATCAGCAGCGATGAATCCATCAATAACGACGGTGAGATCAAGGACGTTCCCAAGCCTACAGGCAAGGTGCCTGTGGAACAGCACAACTACCGCGTGGAGAAGCCCCAGGGGGTCGACCACGAGGTGAATGTGGACGCTGCTTTTGAATACTACTTGCACAAGACTTACCTCAAGACTGCTTCGTTGATGTCGAAGCTGTCGAGAGCCGCTGCTGTGTTGAGTGGTGCTCAGGACGATATTATTGAAAACTGTTACGAATACGGCCGTAACTTGGGCTTGTGTTTCCAGGTTGTGGACGACATGTTGGACTACACCTCAAGCAATAGTGCCATTGGCAAGCCGAGCCAGGCTGACTTGAAGTTGGGTTTGGCCACGGCACCAATCTTGTTTGCATGGAGAGAGGAGCCAAAGCTTGGCGAACTTATTGCTAGAAAATTTGCCGAGCCTGGTGATGTTGATATCGCTCGTAGGGCTGTGGATAGATACGGAGGATTGGAGAAAACCAGGGCCATGGCCCAGGACTACTGCACGCGGGCGCTTACCAACCTCAGGAAATTGCCTGAATCGGACGCCAGAAGCGCCTTGGAGTTCTTGACGAACTCTGTCTTGACCAGAACAAAATAATCCAGTACATAGCATATAGACGGACACTGGCTGCAAAATGGCACTAAACAGTAAGCGTGACTTTTGTCACGTGCCCAAAGGGTGTTACCCGGTCGCACCTCTGCCACTATATAAGCAAGCGCATTCTCATCTTAAAAAGGCTGTCGCCAGAAGATCAGTTTCAAAGTCGTACATGGTTCTTGCCTTTTACCAGAGCCATCCGGGAACTGTCTTTGCTAATGGTGTACTTTTATTTTTTGGAACCCCCTATTAAACCAAATCAAGTTTTGATTGGTTTTTTTTCTTCTGGTGTGTTCTCTGAGGCCAGAGACCTCATCAGAAGTTACCCTACACTGCAATCTCTCTTTCCTGTGACCAATGCTATTTACAAACTATCTACGTGCTCTCCTTCTGCTTCAAGCGAAGCATCGACTCACCATACAACTTCTTGGAGTCGGCGATCTTCACAAAGCTGCCGTTGGCTCCTGGCACTTGGCCCTTGATAACCAAAATGCCGTTGTCACCGTCAGCATGCAACACCTCTAGGTTTTGAGAAACACAGCTCTTTCCACCCATGCGTCCCGCCATCTTCTTGCCTGGCAAAACACGACCAGGATCTTGTGTAGGACCCATGGAACCAGCGGATCTGTGTGCCAAAGAAACACCGTGAGTGGCCGAAAGACCCTTGAAACCGTGTCTCTTCATAACACCGGCGAAACCCTTACCCTTTGTGGTGCTCTTAACGTCCACAAGCTGGCCAACGGCGAAGTAGTCGGCTGTGAGTTCCACACCAGGCTCGATGAGACCCTCGTCGGTTCTCACTCTGAACTCACCGTAGTTGGCTTTCGTCGTGACGCCTGCCTCATTGCAGATTTTGATTTCATGCTTCGTGACGTTTTTTATCTTGTCCTTCTGGCCGAGGAGCACAGACAGGTAGCCGTCTTTGGCGACGGTCTTATTGGCAATCACCTCACAAGAGTCGATCTCAAGAACCGTGGCAGCGTATTGCATTCCGGTTTTCGTAAACCAAGAGATCATACCTCTTTTGATACCCAACATTCCTGGTCTTGCCAAAAGCGCTTTTCTCTCGTTGGCAGCCTCCAAGGAATGGTTGATTCTGGATGGGGTGGTTCTCACATGAGGAACAGAGTGGAGTGACGGTATTTGAGCAGCGTTTCTGAAAGCCACGACTGACCTGACACTGCCAGGAGCCCTCTTAGCTGCTAGGTTCCATAGAACTCCGGCCATTTTATGTTTTTTTGAGGGGGCCTTCGAACTATGTCTATAATAGTAGTCTCTAGTCTCACCAAAATTTTCAGTACACAGGGGGTTCACGCACGACCTATCAGAGACCGCCTAAACGATTGGAATGGTTCTACAGAATTTTCCGATGAATGCTATTGTATTTACAGGTGGGAAGATCGACTATTTGATCTTCTTTTGCTTGAGTTTGATCGTCTCGTCATCAACATAGAGACCCTTACCCTTATAAGGCTCAGGCTTCTTGAACTCTCTGATTCGGGCTGCAAACAACTTAACTTGCTGCTTGTCAATGCCCTCAATTAGAAGACGTGCTGGCGACGGTAAGGATGCTTTCAAGTCGCTTGGCACCTTGTATTTGGGTGTGTATGGGTATCCCACTTTCAAGCCGACAACCTGAGAGCCGTTCTCTTCTTCTAAAAGAGCTCTGTATCCAACACCCACGAACTTGACGATGGCTAAGTGGCCCTCGGACGTACCAATGACGTTGTTATGCACGATAGCTCTTGATGTTCCCCACATGGATCTCTGGACCTTGTCGGTTGGATCTTCAACCAGGACAGTGATTAGCTCACCGTCTTGCTTCACCTTCACAAAGCTGGGTACAAGAGTTCTCAAGACACCTTTTGGTCCCTTGACGACGATATTCTGATCTAGCATGAATCTCTGTTTACCCTTGGTGAATGATTTGCAGAACTCTGGAGGAATCTGTTCTGTGGAAACCTCCACGCCCTCGACCAAGCGCACAGGCGAGACACCCACAAAGGAAAATTGTGGCCTGCTGGTGGAGAACAGCCTTATGCTCCTGGCCAACATGTTCCACCTGTTCAACATCTTGTGCACTTTGAAGGTGTGAGATTCTGAAAATTTTGATGGTGTAGCGTACACACCTGTACACCACTCCCTCTGGGGCACCATTTATTGAAGATATCCTTGTGGAATTCGAATTGAGTGGTGAAGTTGCCGATCAATAGTAGTTTACAATGAGATATTCAATTGGGGTTTGAAGGTTTTACTTGCCAAAAATGACTCATGGTGTGTGGTAGAAGTAGGTCATACTTCATTTTGCAGCCATTCGCGAGCACTTCCAACTACCACAGAAAATATAGGTACTCCAGAATGTCAACTTCGATCAATATCTAAAACTTCCATGCGATTTCAAGTGACCTGAATGTGATGGTACCATTCGAAGGTATGCGCCAGTCCCAGACAGCTCACCAATTATCTACTTTTCAAGGAGCCGGTCTGTGAGAGGTCCCGGTCACGGCAGACAATGAAGCTTCACAAATGATTTGGAAGCGCTCCATCAAAAAATGTCTTTGGAAAAAATTGATGTAAATTGGTTTTAAAACCCACCTTTCTATGTCTCCTTTCATAAGGTTTAGTATCGATTAGGGTAGGCAGTGCCGAAAGAGGAGGTTTGGCCTACTTAACTGCGTACATGGTCCGAATGATAAAAATACTATTGCTTTAAGGAAATCGGAGAAGGAAGCTGAAACACAAGGATGCTGTTGGTCAGGAATAAATAGCAGTGTGGAAAGTTGATGTGCGACAAGGTAGCTCCTTTGTTGAAAAGCTTCAACTTTGCAAACTATTTTTATACAGTTCAACTCAACTAGGGAAGTAAATAATATCAAAGGATCTATCAGGGGCTAGTCCTCAATAAATCATCATTTAATTGGGTCACTTCTCAATCCCAGATGGAGGTGACATGAGGTGAAACTACGTCATTGAGATAAAAGAGACTCAAGTATCGTAACTAATTTACCTAAATATAATTCTAGAGATTTTTTCAAAGGAAAATCTGAAACAAAACCAACCATTCCCTGGGGTTTTGCAATTTGCAACCGTTGGGTACTGCATGGTACACTACTGCTTAAAAAAGTCAATGCTCATCGATTCGCTTCACATCTTCAATCCACAATGGTCAGAAAACTCAAGCATCATGAGCAGAAATTGCTTAAGAAAGTTGACTTTCTCAACTGGAAACTGGACCAGGGTCACAGAGACACCACTGTTATGGCCCAATACCAAATCAGCAATAGAGAGGATTACCACAAGTACAACAAGATCTGTGGTGATATCAGAAAGATAGCTCACAAACTCTCCTTGCTACAACCAACGGACCCTTATAGAATCAAGCATGAGCAGCTTTTGCTCGAAAAATTATACAACATGGGCATTTTGGCCACAAAGTCGAAGATCTCGGACCTAGAAAACAAGGTTTCTGTGAGTGCCTTCTGCAGAAGACGTATTGGTGTGGTGATGTGTCGCCTTCGAATGGCCCAGAACATGAAAGATGCCAACCTTTTTGTTGAACAAGGCCACGTGAGAGTTGGTCCTAACGTCATTACCGACCCAGCCTACTTGGTCACCAGAAACTTGGAGGATTACCTCACTTGGGTTGACAGCTCCAAGATTAAGAAGAACTTGCTCAAGTACAAGAACAAGATCGACGATTACGACTTGGCCTAAGGGCGGTGCCGGTTTATTTCTTTTTGATGACTATGCAATAGTCCATCTATGTATATTAACTAATCAATGCATTTACGTTTAAAAGTTGGTGTTCATCATCCTTCTCACCGCACTCTTACGGTTGCCAGGAATCAAGTCATCATGCGACTGCTGGTAGTCGTTCATGTAGTTTGGCTGGGATGGTTGCCTAGGCAAGGAACCAGCCGGTTTGAATTTTCTTTGAGATTTGAATTCGTCAACTGGGTTCATGAGCGAGACTGAGGTTCTCTGCAATTGGTGAGGGGATGGTGTGGGTCCGCCCTCCTCACGGATCGTTGGTGGCATTTCGCTCGTGGGCGACCGTAACGTGGCGAAAGAACCATTCTGTGTCAACTGAGGTGAAGATCCTGCGCTTGAATCACCAAGAGGGTGTGCCCTACCCTTACCTCTAGGCTGGTAGTCGGTGAATGTTTCGATGGTGGAGCGACGAATCTCTGAGGCGCTTGGAAGCGACTTCAATGGGGGTAGTTCTGCTGGAGGGGGTGGCTGGAACTGTTGTGCTGGGAGCTGAGCGTATGGATGCAGCAGGAATTGCTGATGAGGCATATTATACTGCTGAGGCTGCTGAGCATCTTCAGCGAAGATTGGCGCCTCGTCGTAGATGGAGGACGTCGTCGTCTTACGCTTGTCGTACTGGGTGTCACCCTTCAACTGGTCGTTGATTTGCAAATGATCAATGTCGATCTTAGGCAATGGCTGGCTAGCATCGGCCTGGAAAGCACCATCTTCACCAACAGTAGCATTCGTACGCGTCGAATTTGAGCGGTCAAAGTAGACCTTGTAAACAGATTTCATTCTGGCCAACTCTTCCGCTTGCTCGGGGTCCAAGTCTTCACGCTCTTGCGTGTCACCTTCACCCTCGTCATCACTGACATTCTTGATCAAATCAAATGCAGACAATCTAGGAGATCGGGATATGTGAGTTTTGGGGTCCATCGACGTGTCTGGCGTTGGCACAAGCGAGGGCTGCTCGGAAGTGTCGTCATGAGACGCGTCATAAGTGGTGTTTTGGGTTGGCTCTTCGGTTTCGAAAGTCTCATTTTGCTCTTCAAAAGGCGACCTTACGAAAATAGCGGGCGCCACTTGACGAGGCTCCTCATCCTCGTGCTCAGATTCGTGCTGTTCCGGCTCATCCTCATGCTCCGTCTCCTCAGCTTCCCTCGATGCAGTTTCTGGCTCCTCATGCTCGTCAGAAATGATGTTTCTCGTGTCTACGGGCTCGTCGTGGTTCTTTTCGAGGAATGGGCCCCTCGAGTCACTGGCATCGGCAAAATCATCAGAGGAGGTGGTCGCATTGTCCTGCCTTTTGCGAGGCGATGCATGGGCTGATAATGATTGATTGATGGGCAAGTCGTCTTCGTTTTCGTATTCCACCGTGAAGTCGTGGTCGCTCAGCTTGGATGTATCGTTGGTGTCGTCGCTGACCTCCTCCTTGGTGTTGAAGTACTCGTTGGCGCTGAGTGAGGCGACCGAGTGGTTGGGGAGATTCTTGTAGTCCTCCTTTGTGAGTTTGCCGACGGGCGTCTCCTTTTCAGCCACGGTCTCTTGTTCATAGCGCAAGCTCAGTTTTTGAGGCAGAGTGTTGGTGCTCTCGCCTGGGGTAGTGGGGTTGTAGCGCAACAGGGAACCTCTAAACGTCGACACGCGATGGTCCACCAGGTGACGTGCAAACTCTTCCAAAGACGCCTTGGACAGCGTGTTGTGGTGGTAGGGCAAAACAAAGCCGTCAACGGGGGTGTCGTCGCCGGCATTCCTGGTGGATATGGAGCCGATCTCCGTTGTTTTGTGATTAGAAGCAGAGTCCATGTGCTTGGAATGTGGCCTCACAGAAAAGCGGTTGTCAAACGGATCTTCCTTAGCGTAAGGAAGGAAATCAGGGAGAGCAGTAGCATCTCCATTTTCATCGAAATCGGGGTCATGTTCCAAAGACTCCTTCTTGTTTTTGCGGTACCTCCACCACATCAAGAGACCAAGCGCAGCAAAAACAACCGCCACGGGTATACCAATTCCCAACCCAACTTCAAGCCCAGTGGTGGAAACAGGCTTCTCACAGGAGTTACTATTTGAATGTTTGCAAGGATCACTGGATTCCAGAGAGCTCAGACTGGAGGATGCCCTCTTGTCCAAGATCGTGGGGCTGACCATGCTGAGATATGATTTTTGTTTATTGAAAGCGAACGAAAGGCACGAAGCCGGTAAAGAAAGAAATGAGTAGTCTGGTCTCGGTGGGTATTTTTTCCTTGATCCGAATCAGCGTGTCGCGCTGCGTGCACGGATTGGGCGGAAAGGCGCCCTGCGGCGAGAACGCCAATCGTAAACGGTGCCCAAAAGAAACAATCTAGATTTAAGGTTTAAAAATGGCGCCGAAACGATTGTCAATTGGCAAGGAATTTTACTATTAGCCTTCTGGATATAGGCTATCTATTGGCTTATGGCGCTCTCTACTGGATGATTGCAACGGTTCTGTGCACTTTGTTTATTGACAGCGCGCCTCGCCTAGGCGCCCATTTGGCTGCGAACGCCCAGACGCTCTGGACAATAGATACGTCTTTTGTGACAGCTCTCGCGAAAAATAGCTTTACCATGTTTGCATCTGGTCGTAGAAATCCACTCTTTTGCCCTCGGGCAAGTTTTCGGCAATAACCTTTCTCAGGTAGTCAACAAGCGAACCGTGACCACAAGCAACAAACGCAACAGCGCCGTGAGCCTCTGAGATGTCGTCCTTAATGAGGCTTTCCACATCGGGGCGTCCTTCTCTGAACTCCACAAATGGGAATTGGCTGCGAATTGCTGCAGCCACATCCACATCCTCACCTTCACTCTTCTTTTCCTCGCTCGCCGTGTCGTCGAAAGACTGAACAAACGCTGAGCCAAGATTCTCCTCAGGACGTGTCACGTAAACAATGGGTTGCACAGTGGTGTCCTTCAAACGCTGCAACTCCTCGTAAAACCACTCAATCAGGCTCCAGTGACGGATCATCCAGTACAACTTGATTCTCTGGTTCCCTTGACGCTTGGTAAGGTCCCAGGCTCCAGAGTACAAGCCTGGAATACCACGGCCGCCAGCAAGGAAAATGACATCCTGGTAGTGCTGCAAAGGCGTCTTGTGACCATATGGACCCTCCACAGAACACTTGATTCTGGCCTTACGCTCAGGCTGCAGGCTCAAGTATTGGCACAAGCTGCTCAGCATACCTCCCTTGACCTTGATGTAGAAAGTGATCGTCTGCTCCTCCACCACAGAGTCAAGCACTGTGAATGGGTGAGATTGCCAGAAGCAATTGGCACGGAAGAAGTAGATGAAGCAGTGGGCCATTGGGAATGGCTTCCAGTATTTGTTACGAGGGATCTTCACTCTCAAGTTCTCGTCGTCGAACAATTGCACCTCGGCGGTCTTGATACCAAACCAAGCGAGTCTGCAGAGTCTAGCAAATTTGTCAAAAGCCCAAATAGCAGTGGCAGCGTACATGTACTGCTGGAAAGCGTGGTCTGCGATATGGACCCAGGTACCTGCAATGAACAAGATGGCCAAAACATTGTGGGAAAGAACAAAGAACTCATAGTTCTTTTGACGGAGGAACGAAAGCGAGTGAGCCATCATAATAGCAGCAGCAATGGTTGCAACGTAACCCAACTTCATGTACATTTCTCCGTTACGTTTCACGTACTTGCCAACACCCACACCATTGAGGGTCATACCGACACCGTGAACGATAATGACAATGAAAAGGATTCTGGCGTACCACTGGTGAATAAGGTTGAATCTCGAGTAAGACCAGCCAGAAATGTACTCCATGAAGTTGTTTCTACCGGCAAACAAAACCAATTGGGGAACCATGTAGATGGCAATGATACCACTTCTGTCGGCAATCTTTCTTCCCAATTCAACTTCCTTCTTGGGCCAGATAGGGTTAGGGACGTCATGTTGGAAGTTGGCCACATTAAATGCCACGCACAAAACGAACCAAATAAATATCAAGATGGTCTCCAATCTAGTTGGAATCACGTATTGTATAGCCTTGAAAAGGGTAGCATGCTCACTGACTTTTCCGTTGAACAATCCTGGCAAGGTGATGTATCTTCTGTAGGTATTGGAGACCTTACCGTTCAACGAGTGGACAAAGCCTGGGAATGCAAACTTAGCGAGTCTACAGAGACCAGCAATGACGACAACCACACCCCAATAGGCAAGAAGAACCCAACTGTAGTAGTGAGCGTAGTTGTAGTTGTAGTAACGGTGCAAGACAGAGTGGTAAGCACCGTCAATCTTCTTCTGAGAAATCTTCACAGGCAAGCTGAACAACTTGGTCTTATTGAAGCCAGGAACAGCGGAAGTGTTTGTGACCAAGTAGCTGGTAGCGTTATCATAGGCATCCCACAACTGCTCCTCGGTCAATTTGTACTTAGAACAGCCTTCCAAGAAGACACTAACAGCCTTAGGGTTAGGCATTTGCTTCAAGCAGTGAGCCATCGAACCCAAAGCAGGCTGATTGTCAACGTTACAGAAGGCAGCCTTATCTTTCTTGCCATAAAGTGTGGCAGTCTTACCGAGAATGGTGTCGCAGGCGTCAACGGTAAGCTGGTTCTTGTGGTAAATCATAAACCCATCGGAAGATGCAGATGCCGTGGCCGCTGTCACACTGACGGCGGCGAGAAGTTTGGTAAAACACACCATTATCTATAAGGAACCAAAACCGAGCCAATCAATCTAAGGAGAAAAAAAAAAGCGGAAGCGAAGCAGGCTTTGCTCTAATATATGGACGCCTTCGGAAAGGCATCAAAAAGGATTATGCACTTGGGCGTGGCTTTTCCCAGCTGAATCTGACAAAAGCTGGTGCCCATTTTTGCAACTGCAGTTCGCCAGTGTGAGAGTACAGGATATTCTGCATCCACAATGCATGGGTAGGTCCCATTTGGTGTGCCTCAAGCTGTACGAGGCTCTGCTGCAGTCCAGTAGCTGTCAGTTCCTAATTTCGCTCGCTGACAGGACGCGCCAAGAAAAAACAAGTGACAAGAGCTGTCAGCTTATCTGTCAATCAACGGTGAAATTCGAAAATTTATTTAGCAATCGACCCCCGGGTTTGCCGACTAGGGGCGATCGGGATCTCCCTGCAATCGAATGCCGTGGGGATAAATCCGCTGGAGATTCGTGAAGATTTTTCGCAGATTTTGTGCCGTACGCTGTCGCCCAGATTCATCAGATAATCGATGCCATAACCAGGGCGCCGCATCAACACAAAGTAGCTGCTTCTGACATATGCAATAAAGGCATCTCTAACCTGTCAGTGTGTCAACAACAGTGTCGCACTTTCTTGGCAAAAGTTATTGGCACATAATTTCATGCTTGATACATGTAACACGGGGCCTGTAATTGGAGCATCTGCTTTATAGTTCCGACGGCCTTACAGAGTGCGAGGGGGGGTGGCTCTTTTGGAAAATGTTAGTCGGTCCGGGCGGACCCCCCATTGCCAGAGCACAAACTTAATTGGTCGGTGCCGCATAGGACTCGTATTGTGATACATTTGTCAAAACCGCTGATCGGTCTACGGAACACTGCCTGCTGCAGCGCGGAAGATTCCCATTTTGTGCTGTGACTTCACCGTTGAGGCGAACCGAATTCAACTCACAATTGTGTCTTCCTGAACCGCTATGCCTCCCAAGCCCGCCGACCCCTAGATTGTAAAGATACCATGTACCTTGACGCCACAAAGCCTAAGTTCGGCGTTGCACTTCAGGATGCCGAAAGACGCCCTCTTTTTCCTGTCGGAGGCTTATGCTCTAACATTCCGCCGTAATTAGACGGCTGCGATAGGCTCCCAGACAGACGGTGATGCAGGTATCCTTGTCTTGTACTCGATATTTTAGCCCACCTTGCAGTCTTCCAGCACGCCCATGGCGGCTGCATGCTCCTGTTGATTGACATCTGCCTTATTGTCCTGTCGATCAGCCGCCAAATCCCTTGATGCTGAGAGGCTGGATTCCGCTCCGGCGCTAGCCAGCGCCTAAGCCGAGATGACACCACATTTATCAGCACTTTGTGCTGATTGGCGATTTGCTGTTCACTTCCAAGGCTTTCATCTCCACATGCAAGGGGCATCATCCCGCCCGGTTGCATACTGTCGTCTGCTTCTGTCTCATGTAATGTTCATTGATTTGAGTTGGGCTTCTAGTTCGAGATCGGCCTCTGTTAGGTAATCTTCGAGCTCTTCCTCATACTGTTCGGGGTCCTGGGGATGCCCACTTTCCTGGTAGTGCTGTTCCTGCTCCTCATCTACCAAAGTATCCACATCGACCTGGAAAGCCTCGGCTTGCTGTTGAAGTCGCTTTTGGTAATCCTCGTCGCTCTCTCTGCTGTGCCTTTCCTCCCTTTGTTGTCGGAGTCTTTCCTGGCGCTTGTTGTCTCGAATCTGCTGCTGATTGTTCACCACCTTGGTCTTCAGTAGAGGAGACGACATTGGATGATACAAAGCATTGCCACGCTCCTTCTGTGCCTGAGCCATGTCCTCTGTGGCCAGACTGCCTCGTAGCGGCAGCGAGTTCCACTGATTCATGACTAGCATTCACGGTATGGGGACTTCTTTTGATGGATTGGTCTTGCTACTCGCACGTGATGGCAGTAACCTATTTCGGTGATTTAATAGCTCAAGCGCGTCAGTCGGACGAAGCAACAAGCGATTCTTCTATGCGTAAGCGAATTGAATTTCTTCTTAGACCGTGCTTCTGCTGGGGTCTTATGTGGTTGTGCGTTGTAGGCGCGTCAGATTGATTGCAACTACATCGCGCACTCTTCTTAAACCTAACCATGGCATTCGATGAGTATGATCCAGAAACCGTGATCCCTTTGGTGAAGCTCATGCTGGAGTTTGCCAAAAAGATATTTCCATCCACACTAGAAGCAAATGGCCAGGTTCTACATCGCAAGTTGGCACACGGAAAAGGCGTCCACCTTGAGCAGTCTGTCGCCATCGTGAATCATTGCATGGGTCCATTGTACGTGGCGCACAAGGGCAAGGGTTGGAAAAAGCAGAAAGAAGATGAATTGAGGGAAATCGGTCTTCTATTTATATGGTATGCATTGGAAGACTCTCCAAAAATGGGTGCCTTGGTGGTGTGCAAGCTAGTGGACGAGCATACGCTATACTTGTATGAGATCCAGGTCCTCCCTGATTATCAGAATCATCAATGGGGCACAAATCTCATGAACAGCTTCCATGCATTGGCGAAGAAGCTCGATGAAACTTCGCTTAACGACACAGAGCTTGACGAGACGCTTCGAGCAAATTGCACTACTGAGTATACTGGCTTGACCGTGTTTCCAGATAACGAAAGAGCACTCAAGTGGTACAAGCAACTCGGCTACACATATTCTCCTGATTCGCCGAGAGACAGAAAGACCCGTCTTAGGGTAATCAAGCCCGACTACTACGAGTTGGAGAGGGAAGTCGACTAAACATAAATCGTCCGATTAAACATATTTTTTTGCAATCCAATATTACAGCGTTATGCCTGGGCCTTCTCCTCAAGCTTAGGCGCCTCGCCCTGAGTAGCCTCTTTCTTGATCTCCTGGGGCTGCTCCTTAGGCTTCTCAGAAGGCTTCTCAGAAGGCTGGTCCTTGGCCTCCTTTGGCTTCTCTGTAGCCTCCTTCTTTGGTTCCTCTTTGGGCTCCTTCTTAGGCTCATCCTTGGACTCCTTCTTTGGAGCATCCTTCTTGGGAGCGTCAGCCTGGCTCTTGATTCTAGTATACATGGCAGTGATCTTCAGACTAGGCACCTTGGCGGGCCAGTAGAAGCTGGCGTAAGACCACAAATGCTTGCTGAACTTGTCGTCCTTCTTCTCCTTGCAGGTCTCGTCAATAAACTCACCAATGCTGACCAACTCTTTTCTGAGCAACATGGCCCACTCGTGCTTACCCAAGCCCTGGTTGCCCTTGTGCAACTTCATCAATGACTTGGCAACGGGTTTCAAAGTGGCCTTGCACAATCTTTCATCCATGCTGTCGTACTCCAAGTAGTCATCGTTCTCGTCATGGTGGTCATCGTCGTTCTTGATCTTCATGGTTGGATGGCTATCAAGCTTTGGAGAGTTGATATTGGAGCCTGAAGTAGTCTTTTTGGCCTTGGGTTTCTTGACCTTGACATCTGGCGATTGCGACTTGGTGGTCTTCTTTGGCTTGGCTTCGGCCTTGGGCTTCTTGACAGTCTTCTTCTTCGTTGTACCGTTGGTGCCTGCTGGTGCACTGTCCTCTTCGCCTCTCAAAAGGAAGAACAAGTAGTCGACTCTTCTACCAATGTGAACAGCACCTGGTACCTTCTTGTTGGAGCCCTTTGCCTCCTTCTCAGAAGGCTTCTCGCTCGCCTTGCTGGTTCCTTCGAGGAAAAGCTTGTTCTGCAAGCCCAAAAGCGGGTCATCTCTGATTTGTGTCCATGAGCCATAACCAAACTTGTTGACACCGACAAGAAGCATAGCATCGTCCTTGGCGCTCCACTGACAGTTCCAGTTCAGCACCAGTTTTGGAGTGCGTGGAAGTTCAAACGAGAGTGGGTTCTCCTTAGGAATCAAGGACTCAAGAAGTTTCATGTCGGGTGGTCTGGACAAGACTAGCTCTGCATTGATGTTCTTCACGCCTTGGTAAGTGAACAAGACCGCCTTCTTCTCCTTCTTCTTAGCAATCCACAAAGCCATTGGGTTCTCGCCGTCCGTCTGCACGGTTGATGACTTTGACTCCTTGGCCTTTCTCTCCAACTCAGCAAGCGCCTCTGTTCTTCTTGCCTCTTCTTCCTTCACCAACTTCTTGGAAATGTTGAGAATCTCGTTGTAGGCATGCTTGATGAGAACAGGGTTCTTGTTGGAAATACTGCCCTCTTCGACAAGTTGATTCCATTTTCCAGACAAATCGCCAATTCTGAGGATGGATCTATAAATACCACGAATCTCCTTCTCAGACAACTCATGGTTTTCTTCCACCTTCTTTCTAGCAGCACGTCTTCCACTGCCCTCTTCTTCGTCATCTTCATCAACACCACTAGTGTCCGGAGTTCCTCCTTGCAATTGTTTAACGGCAGCTCTTCTGCGGGAATACATAGCGATTTGCTCGTTGAGATAGTCCTCCTCGGCCTTCTTCTTCTCCTCTTCCTTGAGTTTGGCCAATTCATCTTGTGGAATAATGTCATCCCACTCAACATCCGCCTTGTAGTCAGTAACCTCGAACTGCTTCAAGAACTCCTCGGATCCCAAGTTGGACTCGCCAATCTCAGGAGTGGTGACATGATCTTCGGCTCTATTCAAGACATCATCCAAGTTCAATTCCTCCAATTTCTTCTGATTGTCCGAGGCTGCAAACATGTTGGCTGCACCAAACTTCAAAATCTGTGCAAGCTCGCTGGAGTTGGGCTCGTTCTTGCTCTTCTTACCTGTGTTTGGATCGTTCATTCCCAAAGAGATAATGGCGTACTCGAGAATCATCTTCTTTCTGGCCCTTTCAAGAATCTCTTCTTCAACGGTATCCTTACTGACAAATCTGTACACCGAGACATGCTTCTTCTGACCGATTCTATGAGCACGAGCCATGGCCTGCAAGTCGGCTTGTGGATTCCAGTCAGAATCGAAAATAATAACCGTGTCAGCTGTCATCAAGTTAATACCCAAACCACCGGCTCTTGTGGACAACAAGAATGCAAAGTCCCTGGAGTCGGGTGCATTAAAATGATCGATGGAGATCTTTCTTTGTGCAGATGGAATACCACCATCCAAACGCTGAAATTGGTAACCCTTGATAGACATGTAGTCACCCAAGATATCAAGAATTCTCACCATCTGCGAGAAGATCAACACTCTGTGGCCTTCTTTCTTCAACCTCGTCAAAAGCTGTTCTAGAAGAACCATCTTACCAGAGTTCATGATCATACCCTTAAGGATATTGTCTCTAGAAGCACCTCCTGCCTTAGCAAGGAACTTCTCTTCAGCGCCATCAAATAAGTAAGGATGGTTGGAGGCTTTCTTCAATTCACTCATCACATTCAACAAGGAAATCTGAGAGCCCTTCATACCGGCATTCAACGCAGCATAGTTTCTGGTGATGATGTTTCTGTAGTATTCCGTTTGCACATCGGACAACTCGACTCTAAGAATACGTTCCGACTTGGACGGAAGGGACTTCTCCACATCCTTTTTGAGACGTCTCAAAATGAATGGCTTGATACTCAGTTGCAAGTACTTGATATACTCCTCCTGCTCTGCGTCTTGAGCTTCGAAGTCGATCTCCTGGTCAATGTTGAACTTTCCTGGCATCAAGAAGTTACACAAGGCCGCAAGCTCCTTGATGTTGTTCTGCAATGGTGTACCGGTGATCAACAATCTGTTGGCCACCTTGAACAGCTTCAAAGACTCATACAAAGAAGACTCGGCGTTCTTCAATCTGTGGGCCTCGTCAACAGCGAGGAACTGCCACTTGAAAGCACCAAGCTCATTTCTGTCCTTCAAGATATATTCGTAGGTTGTCAAAAGAACATTGAATTTGGGCTTGTTGGTGGGGCCGTAGAACTCGTAGTCACGGATGTTTCTTCTGGCCTCGGTGTTACCCAAGTAGTAAATGCAGTTTACATCCGGCGACCACTTCTCAAAAGTCTCTTGCCATGCTGGAATAGTACTGAGAGGCACCACTACCAAGTGAGGACCATTCTGTCTGCGGGCGTAGATCAACCATGACAAGAAGGCCACAGTTTGAACGGTCTTACCAAGACCCATCTCGTCTGCCAAGATACCATTCTCGTTACGCGACCACAAGAAAGCCATCCAGTTCAAACCGGTCAACTGGAAGTCTCTCAACTCACCGTTCTTGATGAACAACGGCTGCTTGTTCAACTTCTCGAAACGAGGTCTCTGGTTCTGTGGATAGTTGGCAGACAAGTTAGGAAGAATCTTCGATTGAAGACGCTGCTGGTACTTGCTGACCTGCTCTGGAGCAATCTCGGCGATTGTCTCGGCATTTTCCCACGAGCATTCATCGTAGTAGAGTCTCCTCCACTTGACGTAGTACTGTAGTTGCGAGGTGCCGTCATCAAGCTCAACTCTATCGCTATCGACAATACGCTCAACCTGAGTATATTCTTCTTGTTCGTCTCTCTTACGCTCACGCTCGATGTCCATGGCCTCGATGTCTTCCTTGGTGGTATAAGGATCATCACGAATCTCTTGATCCAAGATGATGAACTGCTTGATGTAGTTCTCAACTCTCCGGCTACCCTTGAACTCCTTGAGCGTGGGCCAAGGTTCCCATGTGTTATGCAAGTGAGAAGCGTCGGACCACTTGATCTTGAATAAGTAGTCGAGCTTTGGGTCGCCAGTTTTTTCGGCATTTTCTGGATTGAGCTTGTGGTCCAAAACAGCGTCTATCGAGCGGGCCGACTCCTCCGCCATAGCTTGTTCGTAATAGTAGTAGTCACCGGCACCTTCTTCTTCGCTTTCCACGAGATCCTCGTCGTCCTCATAGTCAACAGCGTAGTTGACCTGAGAGTTGTTGTTTCTGGTCGAGAACCTCACCTCTGCCGGAGGC